AAAAAAAATTAGAAAAATTAGAAAAATTAGAAAGATTAGAAAAATTAAAAAGATTAGAAAAATTAAAAGAATTAAAAAATTAGAAAAATTAAAAAAAATTATAAAAATTAAAAAAATTAAAAGAATTAAAAATATTATTATTATTATTATATTATACTAATTAGACTAGGTAGTCTATCTAATACCTCTATAGTTTATAAGATAAAAAAAAACTAAAGTACTTAGAGGAAAAACCCTAGCTTTAGTATAGGTTTAGTATAATCTTAAAGTAATTCTTAATAAAGAGTAGTATACTTTTTATCTTAATAAAAGATAATAATAATAAGTATAAATATATAAAACTTAGTAGGCTAATAGACCTACCTATCCCCTACTTAACCCCCTTAACCTCCTCCCCTTATAGCCCTATCCTAGCCTAGGCTAGGTACTATATATAGTTAAGGTCCCTCCTAAATCCTAATCCCTAGATACTTCGAAGTATAAGTAGGTATGGCGATGGCTATAGGGGCCGCGATACCTACCCCTATTATTCCTCTCTTTAGCTTCTATAGTTTGTTTTCTATGTTATCTATACTAAATAAATTAGAAAAATTAAAAAAAATTAGAAAAATTAAAAAAATTATAAAAGATAATTATATAATTAAACCTTATATTAAAAGGAATCTATATAAATATAATATAAAAAAGAATCTAAGAAGATACCTAAATAAAGTTAGTTTTAATCTAGTATAATAAAGAATTAATTATTAATATTAAAGACTATTAAGCTAAGGTATAGGCTTTAAAGCTAATAAAGGTAGTTATAATAATAAACTAATTCCTTTAAAAGAATACTATAATAGCTACTTATTAGCTTTTATTTATAAATATAGTACTTTTATTCTATTAAGATATAAAAGTATTTATTAATAATATATATTAAATTAAAAATATATTTAAGCTAAAAGTATAGCTATCTTACTATATATACTTAATAGTAATAAAAGGTATATTTCTAGTTAAAATACTAAATAATACTATTAACCTTATTATTATATTTAGAAGAGATTACTAGAAGAGACTAATTTGATTGTTATTTGCTTTATTTTATTGTGTTAGAATACACCTTGATTCCAATAGATATCATCAAGCATAAGACCTTATATTCGCATAGAAACAGAGTAAGCGTTGTTAGATCTCCTCCTCTAGAGAGCCCTGGATCACATATGCCAGGAGAAGTTTGCCAAGCAACTCCATGTGCTTGTCACGAGCCACCATAAAAGGCCCTTGCTGGTCCATTTTCAGAAAACCCTCGTCATTTTTGATATCCTCGTCCTCCTGTGTCGTGTCTGTCCAGTCACAGATATAGCGAACGTACGCTGGACGAAACGAGGCGACGGTGCAAAACACTTCGTCCTTATCCTGCGACAGCAGCAGGCGCCGGTACATGCGCTCCGGGGGGGCCGTCCTCGCGTCCGCGGGCGGGAACTGCGAGATCCACGCCGCCATCTGCGCCGTCTCCTGCATGGAGACGGCGCTGTTGACCTTGATGCTATCATTGCGATTGTACGGCTTGACCTCGACAATAGAGACGTTATCCCCCCCGACGGTATAGGTTCCGTCCACGCGCGCCTCAAACACCTTTTCAGCATTACGGTCACGTACACAAAACGGCTGCCGGTATAGTGACCACTTGCCCTGGGCCTCGTTAAAAGTGAGTGTAAGTACGTTAAGTAGGAGAATAAGGGCTGTGTTGACAATCTGCTCGTCCTGAACCGCGCGGTTCTTTTCCGGGTCATCCCATTCCGGGTCCGGGTTTGAAGAGTAGTTGGACTCAGTTCTTTCGCGCCATTCAGCACCGCTAATCGCAAGGGACGTCATGCCCGCGGTGAGCTTCTCTGGCGTCGATGGGACAACCGGCAGGGAATCGTCCGGTGCGGAGGTATCCCCGATCCAGTCCGGGATAATGTGCTGCCGCTCTGGTCCCGGTGCATCACCCACGCCGACGCCGGCCGGTGGCTGGGCGTCTGGTCCCGGTGCATCACCCACGCCGACGCCGGCCGGTGGCTGGGCGTCTGGTCCCGGTGCATCACCTGCGCCGACGCCGGCTGGTGGCTGGGCGTCTGGTCCCGGTGCATCACCTACGCCGCCACCGGCCGATGGCTGGGCGGGACTACCAGAAGCTGAATCCGTAGGTGCGGGAGCATAGTTGACCGGCTTCCGAGGTCGTAGCTTCATAGGCGAGTTGTTGACCTTATCAATGCCTCCACAGTCCGGGGTTGTTTTCACTTCAGTGCAGAGATGCTGATAGTATCGTACTAGTCCCGTAGACCCCTGGGGAAATATTGTATTATCTCTATAGATAAGTTAATAAAATATAAGAAATTAGAAGATTAGAAAGAAGGATATAACTACCGAATCGACGCTAGATAATACGCCCAGTCACTAGACCTAGATAGTAGGTCTTGGGCAACCTGCATGTTCTTGGGGCGTAAGTACGTGGAAAAGGCTGGCGGGCGAGTAGTGGACCGGGTAGAGCCTAATTCCGCGTAACTCCAAAGCGTTCGAAGAAGCAAGTACTGGGGCAACTCTATCTTTGATGCTGACTGGGCTGCTGCAAAATTGTGGATAGTGCCATAGGCCTGTTGATCTTCGACGTTATCAACCCACTGTTTGAAGTTCGCGGGCAGTGTAGCAGCTATAATTCGAGCCGCTGGAGCCAGACCTGTTTGATCCTTTTGAGCCGCGGCCATTTCAGCTATGCAAAAGAAGACCAAGATAACGAAGATAACGAAGATAATAAAGATAACAAAGATGTCGTAAATAAGACGAACAAAGATGGATAAGGAAAATCATGAATGTTAAGAAAAAACAGTAGAAACAAGAGTTACTAGCCAGACCGACTATTCACGTGATTACCCCTCTATTCCAGAAAGGTTAGTCTATTACAGTACTTATCAAACAGCGCTGTTACGCACCAAACCCTAAGTACCATACTAGCAATAGTTATAGCCCCTTTTTTTCCCTTATCGTCACCGTTTAACGCCACAACTTGACTCCTTTAACATCTCTTTCCGCCATAATAAATTACTCTAAGGGCGAGCAAATTCCGCCGCCGCCGGCTTTATTAACATACGAATCAATTTTAAAGCGAATTAAGCGAATTAAGGGCTGCCGGGAGGCCCTAAGGCGGCCGTCCTCAAGAGAGTGTGTGTGTCGCTGCGTGGCGGGGTAGTCACTTGATAAATAAAATCCATCGTTTTGAAGGTACTTCTATTTGTATGTGAATTACACGTAAAACCATATACCTTGGTCAGCCCCATTTTTCTGGAATCACGTGGACAGTCCGTCTAGCAGGATGAGTCGGATGAGTCGTGTCATCCATCATCCAACACCCAACATTCCATCACTTGTGCGTGTACGCCCCCTATTCGCCCAGCACCACTGTCGCGTGATCCTGCTGTGGATTTCCTTCACCGCTGTCGCTGGTACCAGCTCTACCACCTCTACCAAAAATGTTGGCCGCCGCCCATCTTCGCGATTCCCGAAAAGGCATTCAGAAAAAGGATGCGCTTGAGCAATGCATGTGGGACATGATTAGGCGTCGCATCGACCCCCTCACTAAGTCCTCTGCCCACCGTATCAGCCCCGAGCAGCTGCGCGCTGAGTGGAACATCGTCGTTCAGAAACTTGATCTTGATACCGGCCGGCCGGACCACGGCGAGACCTTTATCCAACCCATCCCTATCCATCAGATCGACAGCTGGATCAAGGAATTCCGGCCCTTAGAATACCCCTCTAGAAGGCCGTATGACTATGACTTGTTTGACATCTATGATCGAGTCGAAGACGCCGGCGAGGGAAAGGAGATTTCGCGAGGCATATCCCGCATGGTTAAAAATTATACAATGAGGAGCCATTCCTGTGGGTGCGGCTTCATATTATGGAATAAGACAAACTGGCGCGAATGCTTGTAAGTCCAGACTCTTGCGTCACGGCTGCGGCCAGGCTGAAGCTAACAGTGTGTATAAAGACCTACTACGGATCGTCTTTCCTTCAGGTCGGAGAAGCACAACTGGTACGTCAGCACGATAATATACCAGCGTAACCCCGCTCTTGGCAACCGCTATATCAGCCCTACGCTCCCGCATATAAGCTGCTTTCTCCACGACGACGAGATGCTCCAAGATGACGGGTCCCTATCCCACGCCGAGCTTAACACTATCATGATATTAGCGTTGCAGCAGGCGAGTCATTGCACTTATCGCCACGCTGCCGTTATTCCAGTAGGTGTTCCGAAGCTTCTGCCTAACGAGTTAGTCTCGCTAATATCCCCTAAGATTGTCGTATTTTCCTGCGCTGGACGCCACCTCCGCATTGTTCAGGCCTGCATCGACTTTAAGCACTATCACTTCGACATACGCTGCTCAGAGATTCTCAACTTCAACGAGGGAGGCATACGCGGCACTGACGAAAACCTGCGGCGCTTCTATACCCTCCTTGGCTGGGTGCTTGGTGAACCTGTTGGAAATGTTGAGAAATCGCAAAGTCTCAGCTAGGACAAAGTTAACGGAGCGATGCTTGTATAAAGTGGTACTCGTGAAGCACGGTAAGCCATCCTAATGTAGTAATTTCAGTGTTCCTGGACCGCTAGTTTAATGTGCAGTTGGTCATGTCCGTCCGAGCATTGCGCGTAGTTTCCCGAGTCACTCCAGCGTGTGCCAAGCGAGCCCTGCATCGCTGCAGCCTGCCAGCTCCTTTTTAAAGTCTCTCATACACCTGCAGATTCTACAACGAATCACTTCGCCTAGAAAAGTTTCCGGGGTGTAGGGCGTTTGCTGGTAGTTAAAAACCCCCCCGTCGTCAATCAGGCAGCCGTAATCAACCGCGCCGTGCGGGCGCACGGCGCGGAGAGCGCCCCAATAACAAGCCCAGTCGTCCGGGTGATTGCAAATCCTCCACTAGCACAAACAGGCAGCCGCTTTTCTTGCTTTCCAGTCCGGGGACAACACGTATCAGTGCACTTGCCAGGCAGCTGTCAAACGAGGGGGGGGGGAGGGGATCACTGCTCCGGGTGACGGCAACCCTTTTGCTCTTGACGGAGTCAGCGCCCCGATGAAAAGTATTAAAAAGCACGCGAGCCGCCCCTCGTAAATCCGGCAGCAAGCCAAGCTGCTGCATCCTCATTGTCTACACTTGTCTGTCCGATGAAGCAGGAAGCGCAAGAAAAGCCCGGCGCCGCCACGGCGGGCACCTCGACACCCGCTCTGGCCCTGCCGGACGCGGAGAAGCAGCAGCCAGAGGAACAAGCGCCGGCTGCAAGCCTGACGCTCCATGGAGCGCGGCTGTGGCTCATTCTCGCCGTCTTGTGTCTGAGTATCTATCTCCTGGCACTGGAGCTCACGATGCTGTCGACCGTCGTCCCGACGCTGACGGACGAGTTTGGTACTGTTGCCGACATCTCCTGGTACGAGGCAGCATACGTTCTTCCCCTGTGAGTTGCTCTTCACTTCTTACGCTATTGCGAGTGATGATGAGAAGAAACGGCTGTTAATCAATTTTTATTTTTTTTATTTTTCTTTTCTACTAGGTGTGTCTTGATGCCCGTCGTCGCCAAGTTGTATGACCAGTTCCGCATCAAACACGTCTATCTCGCCTGCATGCTTTTTTTTGAACTCGGTCTCGTCATCTGCGCCGTTGCAGAGTCCAGTCGCGTCTTTATCCTCGGACGCGCGCTCAACGGTCTTGGCGCGTCTGGGCAGTTCAACGGCTGCATCATCGTCCTGAGCAGCGTGTGCGACGCCAGTATCCGCCCGCTTGCCACATCCCTAGTAATGTCCATGCTGCCCATAGGGTCGATGACGGGGCCGATTATTGCTGGAGTCGTGACTGCACGAATTGGTTGGCGTTGGTGTAAGTGCCGCTCGCTGCTGCGTCCTTTCTCACACTCCATTCCATCCTCTCCTCTTATTCATTTCACGTACGCTTCCTTCATTTCACTGACGTACATTAGGTTTCTGGATACTCGTACCCATGGGGGCCGGCGTCATCATCATCTTCGCCATTGTCAAAATAGCAGAGCAGAGCGAGAAGCCCGCATTTCGCGAGGGCCTTCAGAGACTGCCACGTACGCTCGACCCCGTTGGCTTCCTCCTCTTCGCCGGCAGCGTCACCATGTTCCTGCTAGCCCTAACATGGGGTGGAAACAAGGCGTCTTGGTCGTCTGCCACCATCATCGGCCTACTTTGCGGCGCCTTGGTCACGATATTCGTGTTTTGCGCGTGGACGTGGCGCCAAGGCGACAAGGCCCTGATGCCGACCTCTAGCCTGACGCAGCGCTCAGTCTATGTTAGCTGCATCGTGATATTCCTCCAGGGTGGCGCCTCGCAGGCAACGCCGTTTTTTTTACCACTCTGGTTTCAGGCGATCAAAGGCGACAATCCTAGTCAAAGCGCTATTCACCTACTGCCATCGCTGGCTACTTCGGTGGTCGCCATGCTTTGTTATGGCGCGCTGGTAAGCAAGCTGCGCTACATTCCTCCTTGGGCCATCGCAGGCAGTCTTGTGGCGGGTGTTGGCTCAGGCCTCTGCACGACCCTGGCCCCCAACACCTCTGTCGGTAAATGGGTTGGTTTTCAGATCATTACTAGTATTGGCCGTGGTGTGGCGCTTCAAGCGGTACGTATCAACGTTCATTGCCATTATGTAACTGCTAACACCCTGGTTTTTTGCACCAGCCAATCACCGCTGTCCAGGAATATGTTCCTATCCAGCACCACGCCGTCTCGATTTCGATTCTTAGTCTCTTCCTGCAGCTTGGCATTGCTGTTTCTGTCTCATCTTGCCAGACCATTTTCAACAATCGACTCCCTGCACTCCTTCAGCGCTATGCTCCGGGGGTGGACATCACCATGATCGTGGAGGCTGGTGCCACCAAGGCACGCCACTTTGTCGAGCCAGCGCAGTTACCAGGATTTCTCTACGCCTATAACAAGGCTGTGACTTCAGTTTTTGTATGTCTCCAACTGCAGGGCTTATTTTCTCACTGCTAATTCTTTCCCCGCCAATAGTTCTTCCCTATGGCGGCCTGTCTTGTTGCATGCCTTGCGAGCTGCGCCTTGGAATGGAAACCAGTCAAGGCCCAGGATAAGTCGAAAGACACATAGTTGGTAAACATCATACCCTTACTACCCGCGGCTGCGCACCCAACCATTTCTGTCAGCCGTGCTGCCGCTTCGGGTCAGAGGCAAGAAGCTACCGCATAACATCTATCGCATCAAAGGAAAGCCCATCACACAGATTTCATTCTCAACTCAATGCCATTCGTACTATAGACGTTAAGGTATCTTTAATTTACAAGATAGGTTATAGAGCCAATCATTCAGCCAATACAAACCATTTGACTGAACCCTGGTACGCAAGAGCACCGTGTCGGTAGACACTAATAATGCTTGATCCAAGCTTGGCGAGCAGACCTCCCCACCGTCACAATCGTACTATAAGCATTGTAGGGGATAAAAGGAGCGATTACACAATATTTCCAGGCGTCAGTACCTGTGCGGAACTTGCATCAACTGTTGAACCCGCAATGTATCACAGACAGAATGGATCAGCCTGCAGTACCGGCACATACGCAACCCTGCTGCATAGCTGAGAAGGAGGGCAAAAACATCACATACAAAGTGAAATATTGTATAATTCTATTTTGTAGGCTGTCTAGGTTGTAGTTGCATCCACATGATGGATTATAGGTATGTATGTAATGTTTATTCTCCCCTCGACTCTGTGTCGTTTGCTGAGCGCCGTCGAGCTAGCGTTGCGCAGTTGTCTCGCTTCTCATTCGCAATGGAGAATCGGACATGCGCTTCTCCACGGAGAATGACTTAAACGCTTGTCGGTGGGGATCGCGTCATGCGCTCCCTCAAAGCGATAACAACTTGTTTCAACAAAAACACTAGATCTATTAGCAAAATAATGGTCAAAGGAGACAGGGAAGCGTACTCAAGGGAGCAAGCCCCAAGAAGCCCAAGCAGTACAGAGCGACAGCCTCTTTTGATCCAACAAAGTCGGGATTGAGCCAGAAAAAAGGGTAGCAGCCCGTCAAGTGGCCCCCAAGCGCTGCCCAGGGTAGGTACAAGCCTGACATGGAGACTAGTCCGAGAACATGTGAGCCGAGAGACTACACAGTTAGCTTTAGCAACTTCTACAAGCTTTCAATCATACCTGTGGTGTCTTGATACTATTGAAGAAGATTGTCTCGATAAGCATGGTGATGGCAGGCGTGGTGTACAAGGTGAACATGGCAAACGACTTGAACCAGCCCTCTCCAAGCAAATCCGTGATTGGTCCTCCAACCATGGTAGCCTGTGGATTGTGTGGACGCGTCACAAGCCAGTACAAAGCAGCACTCATGAAAGCAAAAACCGTGGTTGTCGTGTAGAAGAAATGGAACCAAAATTGCTTGCGCGGGCTGCCGAGATTTGACGGCAGAGAAAAGGCGCGGACAGCCAAAGACTCGACCCCCTTCGTAAATCTCTCGCCATCAGGATAGTATAGATGGGTAAATGCCCACCCAAATACGATCAAATGGAAGACGACAGCGAGGACATAGGCGATAGTGCCAAAGTGAAAGGCGAGAAACCAGATTGAATGATCGCGGAACTCGGTAAACTTGAACCAGTATGCCCCGACACCGGTGCTGGTGAGGAAGGCTAGGGCGAGGCCACGGAGATTGACGAGGCGACGCTGGGGCATCCAGTTCCACGGCGAGTGGCAGGCTCGAAGATGCGGGGCCTATACATTGTCAGCTTGGGAAATCTTCAGGGTTCGAGTTTGTTAAGTTACATGATCTTGCACACGATGCGGCACAGGAAAAGGAAGAGGGCCATTGAGAGGGCGGGGGAGCAGAGGCGTGGTGTCTCGCGCCATCTTGGGGGGGCGAAGAGGCGCTGCCAGAAAGGCTGGAGGTACTAGGGCGGCTGTGTGCACCGACCGACCCGTCTTGACAATAGCGAGATGGTGATGTTGTTGGGAGGAGGGCTGGGCTCGGTCTAGCGATGACAGCGAACTGATGAGAGTCGAAATGGAAATGTAATGATGCTTGGGGGGAGAGAAGAAGATGCAAACGGGACGACTTTCCTGTGCAGTCAGTTTTGTTTGGTTTGGCAGCTGTTGGCCGGCAGGTGCTGCACTTTCCCATGGTAAGGCAGTCGCCAAATACTATCTTGCTTTTTCTTATTATTTTCTTACTTCTTATTGATTTCGTTATTTTTCTAGCTCTATTTACTCTTTCTTCCTCTTTTTTATCTTCTTAGACTTAGGACCCCTTGGGGTTTTATTCCCTTTCTTCCTTTTTTTATGTAGTTAATGCCCATCCATCTGTCACATCTGTCACCGGCCGTCGAGGACAGCGACGACCTGGTCCGTGCGCTCTCGTAGAACACCTTGTCCTAAAGACACAGCAACAACCCGCCCAGGCAATCAAGCTCCTTGTTACGCGCCGCTATCTCTCCCTCCCGTCCCTCCGATTACGAACCAAAACGACATTTCAATATATTCAGCGGTCGAGAACACACCTGCCATGTTTTCCAGCCTCGGAAACCCGCGCCAGGCGGCCGGGCAGGTGCTCAACTTTGCCCTGATCCTGTCTTCGGCGTTCATGGTATGCGACTGCGCACACGAGCGCAGCAACGAGCATGGATCCATTCTAACACGGGGTCTCCTAGATGTGGAAGGGCCTCTCCGTCGTCAGCGACTCGCCCTCGCCGATTGTTGTCGTCCTCTCGGGCAGCATGGAGCCCGCCTTTCAACGCGGCGACCTGCTGCTCCTCTGGAACCGCAACCTGCTCACAGAGACGGCCGTGGGCGAGGTCGTCGTCTACAACGTCAAGGGAAAGGATATTCCTATTGTGCACCGTGTTGTGCGCAAGTTTGGGTCTGGGTGCGTGCCTCTACCAGCTTCACCACGACCACACCACTAACATCTCGCAGGGACAAGGCACAGCTCCTCACCAAGGGCGACAACAATGCCGGCGACGATACCGAACTCTATGCCCGCGGGCAGGACTACCTCGAGCGTCAGGACATAATCGGCAGCGTCGTTGGCTACATACCGTTTGTTGGCTATGTGACGATTATGCTGTCGGAGCACCCCTGGATGAAGACGGCCATGCTGGCCATCATGGGTCTACTGGTCGTTTTACAAAGAGAATAATGTGTTCATGTGTTGAGTCAATTCCCAGGGCATCGCGGGCAATAAAATGGCTGTCTTGGACTTTTCTTGCAGTGAACTTGCAATGTGCGAGCCTTTCCCAGTGATATGTACCTCCCTCGCGGCGGTGACGTATCATCAAAGCCTTGGTCTAAACAGTCCACCACCTTTATACACGATTCTACATACTTTGAGGTCGCAGCGCTTCGACCAATTGAAACATAATTTGCATAGCCAGAAACCCGCCCAACTACCCTCGAACTACGACTCAGTTGAGCGCCGAAGCAGCCTTGAGAAAGATGGCCACCGCCGGGTAGATGCTGAACTGGAAGATGATGGTGCGCAAGTAGCTCAGGGAGCGCCTTGACGTCACGACATACAGGTAGTTGTACACCAGGCGGCACCCGACATGGATAACCGTGTATCTCGCCATTTCCTCCTGCGGCACCTTGGCCAGCGTTCCCAGAATCTGTCCTCACAAGTCAGCCTTTGTTTCCAGAACACACCCACCTCCTCCAAAAGTACGCACCACCGCAGCGGCCCAGACAGCCCACCACTCAAAGCCGTTCTGCTGCGCCGACTGGCCGCGCAGAATCATGTTCTCGACGCCCGACAGCTTCTTGCCCGACGCGGCCTTTGCATTCAGGCGCGCCACAAACGCGCGCGGGTTCTCGTTGGACCAGCCGCCCTGCACCTTGTTGACCTCGGCCTTGTAGATGGTGTACCAGTGCGGCAGCGCGGCGATGAGCAGCGTCAGCGGGAGCGAGCCAATGGCCAGGCTGGCCTCGCCGTTGATGAATGGGGTAAGGAAGGACATGATTTTGAGTTTAATAGGTAGAAAGAGGAAATGAGTTGAGATTTGGGGAGCAATGATGCTGTGAGGAGATCGGAGCTGGGCGTATATTTTATTTTTTTTGGTTCCTGGGCGGCTTCGGCTAGTCGCAGCCAGGGCTCGGCCGGGATCCCCCACATCCGGCCGGGAGGGGAGCATCGGTCCAATGTTTCCTCCGCAGGCGCGGCGCGACAATGACACGTGCCATTGTTTGCTTGTGCTGCTAATTTGGCGGTTTATGCTACTATAGCCCGACGATCTTGATTATCGCTTTCTGCGTCAGTGGCCCATCCCCGCAGAGGCAATTGGCGGGTTTCGGCTCGTCGCACAGCACGCCCAGCAGTGCGGTGCTCTTTGACCCCCGCGCCGGCTAATGTAACTACATGTATGTACCTAGAGTGTCTGTTGAAGGTGGCGGGAACCGCGGCTGCCAATTATAGTCCTGACCGAGAGACGAGACTCGGCCAACAGTGTGCCAATACCCAAAGTAAAAGCCATCATTGCAAATTAGCTGTCTCTATGGGCACTATCGAGTACTACCTCCAAACAGCGCAGACATGTTTAAGTCGAGTGCGGTGCCCTAAATAATCGAACACTCTACTTCAAAAGCACCGTCGTCCGTCTCAACAAAGAATTTCCCTCCGTCGCCGTCACCCAAATAGCCTGGCCAGGTTGGCTGGTCGGCTTCATAAAAATGTCGCTTTGACGGTACGTAGTTAGTGTAGACCACTATACGATGTGATGAGCACTTACAAGCAGGCGGCAATATCTCAAGTACACGCCGCCAAAGAACAGAACCTTCCGCTCGCGGCCCTATAGATCTGATGTTAGCATTGCTGCATGTATGAACGGCGACGTCGAATGCTCACATCAATGGTCGGGTGCTCCCAGCCCCCAGTCGAGCCTCCGCGATGATACTCGACGGACGCGGCCGCGCCGCCAGCTTCTGGAACACTCCAATTGACTCCAATCGTCACCTTGTTATCCATGTTTGTCCAGGCCTTCATGTAGACGTCCCGGGCAGACCAAGTGCTGGTCATCACGTAGAGGCCATGCGTGGCGACATCTCCATGCCTCTGCAAGATGCGCTTTGCATTGGCCTTGGCCCATCTTCGGAACGGATCGTAGTGAGGATACGCCGTCTGCCGCACATTGTCACCGCAGAGCAGAAGTGCTGCGAAATCAGACCTGGTACTATAACTGTAGATGGCAGAGCACTCAATAGGAATACCAGCCGCCACGCCTGCATCGACACCGACAGTGGTTTCACTGACAGTGTCCGTGTACTTGGGCCCCCAAGTGTGGAAAGAAGGCCGCTGGAGGCGCACAGCTTCAGAGAAGCTTGTTAAATTGGCCGCGCTCAATTCATCCGGACTATTTAGGTCCACAATCTTTCTCCAATTTCCGCTGTGATCGATGTAGCCGCACACTCCAGGCCGCGCTTGGTCGTAGACATCGGAGGGTGGTCGAAAGAACCCGTAGCCGATGCCCCATGTCATCATCGCCCTAGAGTAGCGCTGGTGCTGATTTGAGACCATTTTTTACTGATGATGAAACAAATTGTAAGTAGGAAAGTAAATACACGAGCGATTTCCTGGAGCTCGCCTCGATCTGCTGTGAGGGGCAGACGAACTCGCCCTCGACAACGGTATAGAGTGCGGCTGACTAGAGCTCCGTTGGGCAATTAGGCAGGACGTCAGGCTGGAAGGCAACGCTGACTCCTAGATGTGCGAGGGATCAGGCTTATAATAAGAAGCCAGCAAGGCTCTGCAGCCGAGTGCGCCACCTTGGGCAAGGGTGCAAAGGTGCCGGCCGAAAAGGCGGCGCTGGATCGGAGAGGTTCGCAAATGCATGTGAGCAACCTGCATACAGCCACGACCAATCGGATACCCAGCATTAAATAGAGAGCTGCAGAGGTATCCGCCATATCACCTGTCTTGTCTGGTCGTTCATTGCTTGCCATTTCTTCCCCGCTTCCCCTCCTCGGGACCTTGCACTATGGTTCTGAGCCGTTGCGGTATATATATCCGAAACATTACAATCCAGCTTGGGCTTATCAGTGCGACACTATGGCTACCCTGAATTACCGAGCTTACACGGGTGTTCATGGGTTTTTCATGTCTTGGGAGGATCAGGATGCCAACAGTCCCATCACGCAGCAGCTTTGTGACCTGAAAAAGGCTTTTCAGGATTTGTATGAGTTCAACATTCAGCACTACAGGATTCCGGTGGAGAAGTGCTATAGAGCAGTTGACCGACGCCTAGCCTCGTTTGTTGATGCACATGATGGTGAAGGGAAGCTGTTGATCTTCTACTACCGCGGCCATGCTACAACGGCGGACCATGAGCTCTTCAGTTTCAAGTTGTCAGTCCTTTTTGTGACCTGGTGTGTGTTTGACGCACGGCACGCTAATAGCTACTCCAGGCGCGACGGAGATTTGGACGAGGTTCCGTGGGACGTTGTCAAGAACAAACTTACTGTGCAGGTCGACGCCGATGTACTGATAATCCTCGATTGTTGCTACGCCTCTGCTGCCGCAACCTTGAGCAAGGCCGACTCTAGGCGGCAGTCTGGAGGCTCAGTGATGCTAATAGCTTCTTCGGCAGTAGCTGAAGAATCTACCATGAGTGGAGACCACACCTTTACCAAAAATCTCATCGAGGAACTCCGGGAGAGTCATATGGCCCCCATCGATATATCCGAACTGTTCAACAATCTCCGGCGCCGCTGCATTAATTTGAAGCACATTAATCGTAATAGAGAAAGCTTTATCAAGATTCCGGTCCTCCATAACATCTCACCAAAGGTTCCCAAGCTCATCTGGCTCTTCAAAACAACAGACGATCCGGCCGCTCGAGGTCAGCCCCCTCGGGCCCCAAGGCCCCATTGCTCACCGCCAGGACCAACTCCAGGATACTCGGGGAGTGTGGTGCATCCATCGGGGTCATTTCAGGTTGAGAGGGGTAGGAGACCTGAGCGCTGGCAGAAGAGTACTGCACCACCTTCTACTACACCCTGGCCTAGTGAATCGGTTGCATATCACCCGAGATATCATTCAACACGTGATCAACGGGATAGATAGACTGATTCTTTGACTCTTTCTCCTCTGGAACAAGGACACTGACGTCCATGGGTGCGTAACGCAACTCAATGAGGCCAGCAGACTCTGCTAACATGAGGTGATTATCTGTGCATCGAAGCTCTATGAACGTGGCTATTGACGCAGCGAAGTGCGAAGGTTTCTCTATTGACTCGAGTGCTCCGAGACTGAGTGATAGTGAGCTGAGATTTACGGATGGGGGCACGCCGGTATTAGGGCGAAGATTGAATAGCTTCCAAAGAGGACACGACTGTGATCAGGGAACACTGCGAGACTTCTGTGGCTGTCAGTGCGATGCTGCGGTTCAATGCGTGGGAGTACGTCTGCAGCGTTGCTTCTCATTTTGGTGATGTGATCCAAGGGTCAAGTCGAGATAGAAGGCTTCGGTATTGGGATCGCGCTGGTGTTCGTTGAGCTAAAGCAAAGGAATATCGGTACGCATTTCTTGTTCGCATCTATGGAACTCGAGGGATATGCCCTAGGAAAAATAGCCCGATCGTGGAGACCAGAGGCAGTGCGGTGTCATAGTTAGTTTACGCAGGAGCAAGCTTGTTTGCTGTAGTGTAAAACAAAAATAGACGCGCATACATACGAAAATTGCTGGCTCTGAGTCTGGGGCTTTATTAATATTGATCCTGTGACTCGACATTTTACTATAAAATTGCGCTTAACTCCTCACAAGGTTGGCTGATTCTGTGCAGTCCGACTTGGCGATGTGTGAGTCACAGTACTACGGCGGCTTGGCACCGGGATAGAGGAAAATGTATATCGACAATTGGTCGGCTGCCAAGGATATTCCACTGAATAAAACAACTCCGCGACTACTGTCAGCCTAAATATTTAAGCCTTTTCTGCTCATAACATTTTGAGGCAATGTTGTCGTATCAAACGAGCGGATATACTTGGCGTTGGACTAAAATCCACCAATGCAGCACCGTGGAGATGACGGCCAAACTCTAGCCGCTATTTCAGAAGGCTGAACCATCAACAGTGATGTGAATACCAAGTGAAAGAGAAGAACTAGAGTACTGGAATCCATCTGTGCAATCTTAGGTGATTAGCCAAAACAGCAGGTTGTCTGATGCTGATGTACATAGATTTCAGAAACGCCACAGGAAGCCTGCGGCCAGCCACAACAGAAGTGGCTAGTTGGATGGTGGGGCGAAATCCAGGGACCGCGAGTGGAGCCGCAGACTAGACAATTTTTTCTGTCTTGATAGAGTCATACATCGGTCTAGTGATGGCTGGGGGATCCAACGGATGAAAAGAATATTACAATAGCAAATGTAAATTCAAGCTGTGAGGAATATACGGCAAGGTAGGGCATAGGGCATGACATGGCATGCTGGCATCAGGCCTTGTTTCATACCCGACACGTTGGTGTTGGGGTTACAGGCCCCGCACCGGGGAGATGCAGAGCATGCATCTTCTTTCAGGGAGCCCCGCCATCCAGTGGCCTGCAAACAGTTATATCTGAGCATCAAGAAACAGTTCGCTGATGATTGCTCAGAAATACATTAGTACCTACCTGGTACCTAGGTAGGTGGCCCACTACAGCTGCTGCAAAGATCAGCCTTTGCTGCACCAGCGACCCCTGTAACACACGATGACTCCTCTGCAGCCCGCCAAAACCCCCCCCTATGACGCCCAACACCCCTACAAAGAGCGGTGACGATGGCCGACTGTCCAGAGAGAGGTACGCAGCCGCCCCGAGATCCTTCTCTCGAACAGGTCTAGCGTAGATCGATGCATCCAATCAGCTACCCCCATCGAAGCTTCCACCCCTCCTCCGTCCACTAACAGCCCATCATCACAGGCGATAGCCCACTGAAGCCCGCTAAAACACACCACTTGCCACAGCCAGAAACCCCACCAGGAAAAAAAGTTTGGGATGCAGACACACGCCCGCCCAGTGCCTCTCTTTTTTCTCCTTCTCCTCTTTCCCTCTTGCCCCTTCTTCTGCCTCAACATCAACTACATCCCTCCAGACAACGAAGTCGTACTATCAGCACACAGTTTGCTCATATCCACCAAAAAAACTATTTGCCGAGTCACCATGCCTAGGGCCATCGCTGAGCTGTAAATCGCCCACTGCGAGCCGTTGCCGTCGTCCTGGCCGCGGCTCGCAGTCCAGCAGCTCACCGAGATATTCAACTATTCCACTCGACAAATCGTTTTTCCACAGCTCTGCCGCTCGCTGAGCCCCTGCTTAGCCATTACAGAAGTGCTGTTTCAACTAGATACGCAATACCAACCACTGCCCGTCACGCCTGCTTGGGGCACCGCATCACCATTATCCAAAATTTTCACCATCTTATCAAACGAGGATCATCACGACTCCCACAGTATCAACACCGTCAACTATAGAGAGGACATACCTCTTTTCCCACGGCACCGAACCCCGCCACAATTGACCCCGACCCCGGATAGAAAAAAGTTCGAAAAGTACGCAACCCACCATAGAATACAGCCATGTCTCGCAACATTCGCAGAATGGCTACCGCCCCCAAGCGCCCCAAGCGCCGAGACTCTGACACCACCTCCGCATCCTCCTTTGATCTTTCAGATGACGATGGTTACTCTGCCGTCGAAGACATTAGCGATTCCGAAGACGATGACGAGGACGATGTCGATGCGGTCGAGGAGGAGAATATTCGCACAGAAGCTGTTACAGTCCCTCTGACCTCCCCTCGACCGCCCACTGACGACGGCAACGACGAAGAAGACGATGATGAAGAAGTCTCTGATCAAGAAGTGGAAATTGAACTCGACGTTTCAGTCAATGGTAACGCCGATTTTGAGGATGCCGACGAGCGTACCAGCTGGGCCGGCATTGTCTCCGATGCCGATGACAATCAAGTCTCTGACTTTTACAACGACGCCAGCGCCTTTGCCTTGGACACAGCTGTCGAGCGTCACGTTCATTTCGACGTCCCCTCCAGCGATTCTGACTCGACCGACACTGAAGATGATGACCACAACGACCTCTTTCCCGACATCTTCGTCTCCCAAAATTCTCTGGATCCCGCTTTCCGCAAAGAGATTGAAAACGACCCTGACGAGGGCTCCTCCGACTCTGGTACCTTTTGGGACTATTCTGGCCACCATCACGTCGAAGAGGAATCCGACGCTGAGGATGTTATTGGACAGCTCGCCGACGACGACACTCCCACCGCCACTCCCCACATCCAGCACATCAAGGACGAGGACACGGAATCCATCTATGCCAATGAACAAGACCTTGACGGCTATGAAAGTGAGTCCTGCCTAATGCGGGACCCGTGGTCTTTTTAACATGCTAACACATTCGCTCAGCCGATGGCGACACAACTGAAGAAGACACGCCAGAGCCTCCTGTACGCAGGAAGACCAGGCGTCCCTCTGTGGCCATTAGTGAAATGACCGATTCCGAGTCGGAGCCTGTAAAGAACCAGCGTGGCCAGCCCCGCGTCGGCCGCTTCAAATTGGACCGTTCCGACAAGAAGCCCATTGCCGTCTTGAACCCCCTCACCCGCAAAATGATGATCTTCACCCCTCACCGCCGCCACCATCTCGACCTGTCCCCCGAGCAGTTCAACTTTTCCTGGCCGATCGAGGACCAAAATACGCCTCTGCTTAGCAACTCTGCCAATATGATGCTGAGTACAATGCTCGCCTCCAACACCTTTGGCGACTTTGTCAATCCCCAGACCCTTGGTCCCGCAGATGACTTTTTTCCCTTTCCCCCGGAGGGTGTCGGCATGGAGGGCAGCTCCTCTAGCATAGAAGGTGAAGACGACGATGCCGAAAAGAATCTCGACATTAGTGACTTTATCACCTGGGACGAGGGTGACTCGTCGGGCGAGGAAAACGAAAATGGCAACTGGCAGCCGTCATCCACTCCTGCACGCCCCACGACAGCGTCTAGCGAAGTCGATGTCCTCTCACACCTCAACTCGGAAACGGTCGGTGCTTTCCGTCGCAACCAGATTAACCAGCAGTTGATCTTAAGCAACCAGGCCACGCAGGACTCGCTGGCCTTTAGCGGGCCCTACAACTACACCGCCCTTCGCGGCCTCAAGTCGGACCGCTTCGAGACGGCTGCCATTCCCCTGACGCCTGTTCGCCGCCACAAGAAGCACATGAGTGACATGGCCCGCAGCCCGCTCGAGAAGGCGTCGGCTAAGCGCAAAGCATCGGGTGAGCATACTAGCAACAACCACAAGCGACACCGCAGCATCTCGGATGTCAATATGCTACGAATCTAACGCATGATTCCCACATGACGTGTGATGCACTACGCAGCGATCTATTATACAAAACGACCGAGGACGGCGTGGCTTCCTTGCGAAGCTACCCCTGGCCTCACACGGACGTGATCCGGAGCGATTTACTTCTCTTCATACCTTCCTTTGCATTTTCCTTGTGTTTATTTTCTCCGACCCGGGTCTGTGGCCCTTTCAATCATGACGTCCTCTTCATCATAGTGTGTATTTGCCAATAATTTTGGGAAGAATAGATTTTGTGAGGAGAACATGTCCTGCTGCCAAGACTTTTGGTGGCGCATCTTTTTGAAGAGGAGCGTCTTTTCTTTGGGATTGGTTCGCCCCCTGGAGGGTGCTGAAAGAACAAGATTGATTAATTCTGACCTATTTTTTTTACAACCCTGTGTGTTTCTTGTTTCATGGTGTTGCTTGGGTGAATGATGTATGGACACTGGAAATGTACTGCAGCGAAAAAACGCATGCTTGTTTCTTTCTTGGTAGCGCTGGATATACAAGGTTGATGTATAATACATACTTTGTACTCGTCCTAGCCCTCTGTACGAATCACAACTGACTAGAGTATATCTGTCCCGACATGCTATTGAGTGAGGACGTGGTGCGACCTGTGCGGTAATGCATGCGAAACGGAAATATTCTTACACTGCACTCCTTGATTTGCCAAAGGTGGCAGGCAGCAGCGAAATGCTTGTCGGTCGGTCAGTTGTCTGTGACACATGACTACCACCCATCCCGTGAAGCAGCACAACTCGTCAGGCCCAGTGCCCATCAAGCTGGCAGAGAGTCTGGCTGTTCGCTATAGGCGAGAGAAGTACATTATGCATCCTTGGCTCGCTCTGTAGTTTTCGCAGTGTCGCAAGTCGAAACCAGGTCCGCTCGCTGTGCCGACTTCGGCCAAAGCTGGACATCGAGCCCATTGCTGCCTACAGACTTGTGGGTGTGGTGGCCGGCACGACAAGTCAGAGCCTAGATTTGTCGAGTTGGGCCTGCAGTGGCTACCGGTCTCACTGCATGTCCCCTTTTGTATTCTGAAAGCACGTATTTGGGCGGCAGCGTGGCGCTCGTGGCACCTACGAGGTTGCTGGGAGTCACATCTATCTGTACGCTCCCCAGAGCTTTGTTCAACAACTTGTTGCGGATTTACCGAGTCTTTTTTTGCTATTTTACGGACATCTCTCCTCGTCCTCTCTCGGCCTCTGGCGCGTTTCGTTCTTGCTCTTGCTGCTGCGCGCGTTGCGTGACACGTCAACCGCAAGCTGCTGTGCGTGGGTGTGATGGAGAATGCCGGCTGCGTTTTTGTGGCTTGTTCGGGAAGAACGATGACAGTACGAGCTCATCTATGTTTCTGTCATCTTCTCCTCTGAAGAGTTAGCATAAGGTCCTGCCTGCTCTCGTCCTCTCGGAACGATAAACCCCCGCCCGCCCGATGCGATCGACTCATCACCCACGAGCACCACCAGCGTATCCACGGTGCACAACATTTACTTCCGATGGGCTGCCTGGTGTCCCTTGTGACCGCATAAATATCGCAAGTAACACGCCGCAGTATCTGCCTGCCTAGCTATGATTCGAAGTGCCAAGATGGGGTGCCACCAGCAACGAGCACCTGGAATACTCCGCCATAGGCTCCAGGTCTTCTCTATAAGTAAGCACGCCTCCTCACTGACCAAAGTAAACTTTGCTTACTCCGCTGTCCTCTTTTTACTCCCGACTCACTATTGTTCGAAGAGTCAAGACACCACCTCACGCCGTCTACTTGCGTGTGTGACGGATGCCAACCAGCAGCAAGCAAATGCAACACCTCCAGCATATATCCTAAGCTGTTCACAAGTAGAGCACACTCCTCCTGCTCTCCGGTATCCTCATTCTCAACTCTTTTCCCTCTTTGCGACCGCCTCTTCGCCGGGCAGCAACGCTCGCGCCGGGCGACAAGGACCAACAGCAAACATGTCTTCTGCGACGGAGAATACCAGCCCCTTTCGCAACGACACCTTCTACATTACGACCGTTCATAACGGAAGCCTCTTGACGCTCGCCAAGGTGGGCAAAGCCCCGCCGCTCGGCATGCCCGTCAGTCCCGAGTTCGTCGCCGCCAAGACTCGGCAAATCCAGCAGCAGTTCCTCGAAGATCCGAAACATCGCTGCGCGATCGAGGCAGAAGTCAGTTACGCAAAGTTCCGGTGTAGTGAGGGTTTAACTATGGAGTTTGATTCACTGTACATGATGCGCGAGCTTTGTCGCTGCATGCGCGAAGACGAGAAACCAGGCAGCTCATGGTTGGCGAATCAAAACTGCCGTCCGGATTCTCTCGATCAGGGATCCATGGACACGCCAGTTGTTTTTATCATTTCGAGCCTCTTCAAATTTGGTTTCTCTATCTTTGAAGTGACTCTTGCTACTAAAGACGAACTGCAACGACAATACTGCGAGCCCAATCCAGAGCACTATGGCGCCGACGTCGAAGCACAGTTCGCTAAAAATATCAAGCCCTGCCGCTGTCCCTATACGATGGCATCAACACTGACTTCCTACTGGGCCGACCAGACCGACATTTGCCTTGTATCCACCTCAGGCCTGCCCTGCGCCGCACTCACGCGCGCACTCGGAGACGAGAGCCTGAGGGGGGTGCAGAGGCTGAGCTTCGCCGACAACATCTATCAAAACTCAAGCACCGACGACCTCGCCGAACTCGCTCGCGCATTGGGTAAACATGGGCCTCTGGAGCTTCACATTATCGATACTCCGCCAGAGCTGCAGAACGATGCCTCAGAGATTCGGAGCAACTTTACAGAGCAATTATTGATATTGATGTTGCGACAAAACTGTGCGGTGAAAGTCTCGCGATCAAGATACGCTGCTGCATAAAGGCTGCCGCGTACTTCCAAATCCTCATCTTATCTGCCGCTGAAAAATAAGGACGAATGCGGAGAGTTGTAGGAGCTGCAGGCTTCGAAGAAGGTGCGCAAGTCGGTCAGCTGGGCACAGGTCGTCGGTATAGGCGGTGGCGAGGCGACTACAAGTGCCGTTCCGCTGCGTTTTCAACACAACGCCGACGGAGCGGCCATTTCTTGACATTGGTCTCGAGCGTGTGAATAGGAATACCTATTGGAACTCTGGTTATATCCCGTTGCGGACCTGGCTTCAACAGCCGAGACATACATTATAGTTTTCAGATCTAGCTCTTTGATTCCCTGCTTATGTACTTTACATACAAATTAACAACATGATGCGCCATTCATTAAGTCCCAGGTCCATGGCAAATATCAGATAGAATGTCTTTCCCGCAACCTTGTTGTCGTAGAAAACAGGACTTGGCTCGCCCATACAGCGTGGAGCGAAGGATGGAGAGTATTCATTGCTACACTGTTCGTCGCACGAATCACGCCAGTGACCTTGTTTACAAGAATAGACAAAACATACAGTCGTCATCACGAACACATTACACAAACCTGCAGGGCTTGTGCGACGTTGTATCGGGTTACGAGGCACGCGTAGTGTACGAGAGGAAGCCGTCCCGGCGCGATAGTAAACAACCTCATTCTCAGCATCCAGCGTTGCCCCTAAACCACTGCCCTCTCCTCATCCCCGCACCAATCGTCATCATGGTCTTTCCAGCAGGGGTCCGTGTTCGTCCCTCGCTGGCGCCGCGTCGCGAGGTGCTCTTCTACATCGTGGCCACGATCCACTGCACGCTGTGCCCGCTGGCCGTGGTGTCGCAGACGCCGCCCGCCGACGAGCACTGGATGTTGCTGACCAGGCCCTTTCTGGTGGGCAAGGCCGCGCGCGTGCACCGGTTCCTGTCCGCGCCGGCGCACCGCTGCGCGCTCGAGGCCGAGCTCGCCGCCGCGCGCCACTACTACACGCACTGCTGCGCCGCCGACGACGCCCGCGGCTGGCACCCGCCGCCGGGCCTGCTGACCGCCGAGCAGCGCGCCGCCCACCTGCGGAACCCGCTGGTCGGCTTGTTTCCCTACACGGCGCACGGGCTGCTCGACTGCGTCGCGCGCCGCGGCGACGACACCGAGTGCGGCGCCACATCGGCCACAGCCACCCGCTACTGGAGCCCCCTGCACCCGGACACCTCGTATGAGTACGCCTCCATGGCCCATGACGCAATCGTCTTTGACATGACGGACCTTGACGACATTCGGTATGCCGTGCTTGCGGCCGTGCCCGCGCCGCCCGGCATTCCGCCGGGGCTTTCCGTGCATGGGCGTATTTGTGAGCAGTTTTACATGCACGCATACGCTTCGCTCGGGGTTGTGTATATCGGGGGCGCCACTCCTATACCGGTTGCTGCGGTCGAGACCTTTGAGAAGCTGAAGTATATCGAGCCAGCCCTCGTTTCGCAAAGTAAGTTCTTTTGTGCCGTGCTTTCTCCCCGCTCTCCCGCTCGCTCTCTTTCTTGTTTCGCTCCCCAGCTGTCTGTCTACTTCTCCGTACTGATGCCGGCAGTGCTCTGGGGCCCACGAACCCTGAACCTACTGGACGAGGAGCCGCCTTCCACGTCGCTCGCCGACGTGGCCCTGCGGAACCTGGTGCTCGCCGCCGGCGACAGAGCCGGGCTCGACATGGCCGCCGGCGCCCTCGAGGCATGCCGGGACACGATGCCGTACTTTTGCCGCAGCCTGCAGCGCAGCCTCGCGCAGCACGCGCAGCCCGACTTCCCGCCGCAGGCGCTCGGCACGCTCATGGCGCAGGCGTTTGCAGGCGAGCAGCACTTGCGGCTGTACGAGGCGGCGTACGTGCGCTGCGAGGCGCTGGCCGTCGCGCTGGAGCACGAGAGCGTGCGCCGTGGCGTCACCATGCTGAGCTTGGCGAGCGATGCGCTACGCGGCGGCGGCGCGGATCTGGCGCGGCTGGCGCGCGCGCTGCACGGCCTGCCGGCGCTGACGAGGGTGTTTGTGGGCGACTTCCGTGGCGTTCCGACTGAGGATAGCAGGCGCGAGGCGGCGAGGCTGCAGCGTAGGCTAAATAGGGCGGTTAAGGATTTGGGCGGCTGGGCGATGCGAGATAAGATGTTTTATAGCAGTGGCTATGCTGCGTGTCTCGCGGGGCAGTTCATCTGCCATCAGTTGTTGGATTCAAGAATGAGCGGGGGGGACTGAGATGGTCAATCTTGAACAGTCTGTCCAAGGCGAACAGCCATCCGCGAGAACACGGCGGCGCGCATTGCCGACCTATATCCAGATCGCTTATCCATCGGATTAAAAAATATGATTGTCATTTCCGGCTACTTTTTGCAACTTTCCGCATCCCTAGACGTTGTCGTTTTCTGCTTTCTCGATTTCGGCTCGCTACCCGGTAGGCGCTAGTCTGTTGCCACGCCAACCTCGACAATACCGTTGTACTAGTAAACAATCGGAACAATCTCCCCCCTGGACCATCGTCCAACTCTATCCTGTGCAAGGCTCATGAGCAGCGATGAAATAGAATTACAGCAGGCTCACATAACTACTCATCTACGCAGGCATTATTCGATATTCTTTTCCCCGCTTCCCGCCCGCCCGTTTGGTTCACAAACACCAACCTCATTCCAACCATGGACGCGCCTCCCGCTCCCAAGACGTCGCAGAACCTCTTCGAGGTCTACCTCCGCCTGCGACCGCCTCCCGCGACGGCTTCGACGGACGAGCGTGTTCTCACTGTCGAGCCGCCTGCCCAGTCAGGCGCGCCGCCCAGCCACATCACGCTCAACCCGCCGTCAGACCGCCGGCGCGCGATTGAGCGCTTCGGGTTCACGCAGGTCTTTGCCGAGACGGCCTCGCAGCTCGACGTGTTTTCCAGCACCGAGATTGTGGGCATGGTAGAGGGCGTGCTGGCGCCCAGGGGGGGTGAGGGGACGGATGCCGTTGTCGCGACGCTCGGTGTGACTGGCTCCGGAAAGGTAGATATCAAGACTGAGGACATACATCAAGGAATCGTGCTAACTCGGTTAGACACACACCATTCTCGGATCGAAAACGCAGCGCGGCCTGACCCAGCTGGCTGTCGACGTCGTATTTCGCTCCATCGGCCCCAGCATGCTCGACGGCGCCGCCCTGCCTGCCGTCATCGAGTCGCTGCAGGCCTGCGATTCGTCCGAGTCCACGCTCATCTCGGCGCCGCCGTACCTCGAGACCGTGTTTGCCGACCACACGCAGTTTTCCCGGGCCAACTCGCGCGCCGCCACGCCCATGATTGTACGAACCCTGCCGTGCTCGTTCCCCGCCTCACCATCACCACAACCACCACCTCTGCCACGCCTGTCGCGGCTGCCGGAGCAGTAGTGCCGCTCCCGGCCGCCGGTCGCCTCGCTGCCCAAGACACCGTCCAAGAAGACACTAGACCCTCTCTACATGGCCCTCACTGCCACCGTCCGCGGCAAATCCAGCGCCCAGAGGCCCAAGTTGAACGCTAACAGCATCCAGGGCGACTTCAGCTCGAGTATCATGTCGGCCGCGCCTCCCCGGCGCAATCTGCCGCCGCTGCCGACGACGCTCCCGAAACAACCCGACGTGAGCGGTATTCTCGTGCCGTGCGACACGGCGGCCGAGTACGTCGTCGTCGTGTCCATGTACGAGGTGCACAACGACCGCATCTACGACCTCCTCACGCCGGCGACCAAGAATGCGGCGACAAAGGAGTTTCGGCGCCGTCCGCTGCTCTTCAAGTCGACGGAGCTGTCACCGGACCGCAAGGTCGTGGCCGGCCTGCGCAAGGTGGTCTGCACCACGGCCCGCGAGGCGCTGCTCGTCCTCGAGGCGGGACTGCAGGAGCGCCGCGTGACGGGCACGGGCAGCAACAGCGTGTCGAGCCGCAGTCACGGCTTCTTCTGCTTCGAGGTCAAGAAGAGGCACGGCGGGCGGCGGCCGGGCCCGTGGGGCGGCAGCAAGCTGACCGTGGTTGATCTAGCCGGTAGTGAGCGCGCGAGGGAAGCCAAGACAGCGGGAGCTACGCTTGTGGAGGCGGGAAAGATCAACGAGAGTCTCATGTATCTCGGACAGTGCTTGCAGACGCAGAGCGAGCTGGGGACGTCGACCAAGGTATGTACATTGCATCGCGCTATGTGAGACGTGGCTAACAGATGCAGCCCAACGTTGTCCCTTATCGACAGTGCAAGCTGACGGAGCTTCTTTTTTCCAACTCGTTCCCTTCGCACACTAGCCCGCACATGCCACGGCGTAACCCGCAAAACGGCGTCATGATTGTGACGGCCGACCCGACGGGCGACTTCAACGCGACATCACAGATCCTCCGCTATAGCGCCCTCGCACGCGAAGTCACGGTCCCGCGGATCCCTTCGATTACCGCCACGATTCTTGCCGGCGGCCCAGCCCCGATGCCTACCACACGCTCCATCAGCCCTGTCCAGCAGCACCCTCACCGACCCTTTGTCCCTGCTGGCGGCACCAGCGCCTACCATCGAAACCACTCGCCCGTCGACGAGCGCGCCACGATGGAGATTGCTGCGCTTGAGATTGCCCGTCTCAGCGACGAGATTGACCAGCTGCGCGCCGAAACCGATGCGCACATGGAAGCGCGCTTCACGGCCGAGGCGCATCTGCTGAGCATGGAGGACCGCCTGATTGACCTCGAGGCGGCGATCCGCGACGAGTGCGCCGCCGAGTACGAGCAGACGCTTATGCTGGAGCTCGCGCGCTTCAAGACGAGCCTGGCCCTGGAGCAGGAGCGCGGCGAGGAGCACCTGGACCGCAAGGTCGACTTGCTCGCGCGTGGCCTCGAGAATGCTGCCCTCGTCATCTGTGACGAGGGCGACGAGTACAACAAGGAGAATGTGCTGGTCGAGGACTTGTCCGAGGAAGTCGAGCGTCTGCGCCGGGAAAACGCCGTCTTGAAGCGGGAGCTCGCCGGGAGGAGCCCGACGAAGCGCAAGCCGCTGGAGGAGAGGGACGACTTTTCGCCGGCGCCGCCGGACACGCTCCCGGGGGCGCAGGGCGGCGCGGTGTCGAATCTCGGCAGGAAACTGGAGCGGATGCGTGTGAATCCGGATGCGGGCGCGCGGTCGGCGAGCGGTGCGAGCAATGGCAGCCCAAAGAAGATGCGTCGGATCGCCAAGGCGACGTAGACGGACAATGTGCATTTTTTTTGGTTGCTATGCTTGGGAATGGCGTTTTGGTCATGTCTGCAGATGTTGGATACATACCCTGGATTACGTCGCTTTTCTGTTTCCATGATGGAGCTCGATCTATTCTTTTGAGTAGGCAATACCCGCTGTAGTTTAGTTTACTGCATCTATACATTATCTCTTCTGTGCACACTGTTGCAGCCGTTGACCGGCACAATCAGGTCTGCGACGCGGCCGGGTGCAACGTTGACCCTATGATAATGACCCGCGTGACGCTTCGATGAATAAATCAGCTGATCTTGTGATATAGAAGTCGGTCAACAGGCGTCGCATTGTCGCTAACTCCTATAACTCTTGCTGGCGTCTGGATATATAAGGAGAGTGATGTATCGAATGTGTATAGAGACTCCGTGTCCGTGCTATCTTGGCTGATGGTGTTGGTCGGAGTAGGCGATACATGGCACTTGAGAGAGAATGACGAGTCTGTTGGTGGTTTTGTGGATTATAATTGCACTCAACTGAGACGACGGTAGATGCCTACCGTGTCTAACTAACGTGTACCTGTCTACATTGCCCAAGAGCTGTTTCCGTATACTTTGCTCTCTTCTCTCTTCTCTCTTGCCGCACAAGCCCTTGCGGCTCTCGACCACCCTTTGCCTCAAAAACGGGCATCACATTGTAAGTTTCTTCACATCGGTCTGTGCGCCATCGACGCTAGACAACCTGCAAATCCAGCATTCCTGTTAGCCTCGTTCTCTCGACCCTTTCGTAACCAAAAAATACAAACAGCAGCAAGCGGTAACGTACCTGTTGACATGGGGCCGCCCCCAACACGGCGGCCATGATCGGCTTAGCGGTATTGCTCGATGAAGTGCTCGTATTGCTCGATGAAGTGGATATTGCCCGCGCGGTACCCAATCTCGCGCGCCTCTTCCATGACTTTGCCCCTGCGGCGGTACTCCAAGATATTCTCGGTCTGCTCGTTGACGAGGCTTTGCAGCAATTGCACGGCCCACTGGTAGAGGGCTCCAAGTTCCGGTCCGGTTCTATCCCAGTAGTAGTACCACCGGATGAGGACTTCGAGCGTCTTCAGGGCCTTTGGCCAGTCTTCGTCCCTCTCCGCCTTGGAGATGACGCCGCGCAGTTCTTGTTCCATGGCCTTTCTGTACTCCGGGCTGCGGTGGTCGGGCGAGAACGCGGGCTCCTCGGTTTCCACGCCAGTCATGTACTGAAACACGTCCACGCGAGCGTTTCTGGGCATGGTGGCTGTGTTGCGGAGATTGTTAGTCGAGTCTTGGTATCGGAGACAAGTGCGCTGATCGATCAATGTCGGAGTTCTTTGGCTGCGAGTCTTGGTATCGGAGACAAGAGCGCTGATCGATCAATGTCGGAGTTCTTTGGCTGCGAATAGATGTCTTGGCAAAACGGGGTGATCGTCGTGCTTATAAAGCGCAACAGTACATCCTGTACGATGAGAATAGTCTTGCTATTCACTCATCTTCTAGGCTGCTGTGTATCGTTGGTGTTCGATCGCTTCCGATGCACTGAATCGAGGCACCTACCCCTTGGTGGGAGTGCGAGAGAGTCGGGTTTGACGAATACTTTGTTGCCACTCTGCAAGGAATCTGTTCAAGTAATATCGGGAATCGTATCGCAATAGTCGAAACAAAGAGTACATTCGATGTAGGCAGCATGGTCATACGGGTCTTGACATAACTAAAGTGCCTATATCAAATGTCGTCTTGTCTTGGATCTAAACGCGAACCCTACATCTTGCCGCCTGTTTACTTGGTTACAATCAGTAATCTGAATCGACTCTATGGTGGGAAAATTCGCTTTCCATCACAGGTTTCCTCCACTGGAGCAGTTTGAGCACTCAACAAGGCCGCGAAGAGGTATGGTAGTTCCTACGTCACCCCGACGCTCCTGCACACAGGTCACATTTACCACTCAGCCGTGATCTCGTGCTTCTTTGTTTACAGAGATATGGTACAGCTGTGGAGATTCAAGGCCCATGAGACTCACCAGTGTTTCTGAATGTGGGAGGGGAGCACCGGTGTACATCCGGCCGCCTCGTGTTGGCACGCGAGCAAGTACTCTGGGACGTGGATTATCAAGCTCCGACTGATTCAGTGCAAGAAAGCGGGAGTGAGATCCAGAAAGGCAAAAGATGTTTCGTACCTTGAAATGACCGCGTTGGTTATTGGGGTGGGTCGATGGAACCGCTTGTTTCCGGCTCCCGTCTCTGAAGAAGTGATTTATTCCTACAATAACCGTCAGTCAGATCGCCAGTACTACCTTGGAATGTAAATGTATTTTTACTTGTCTAGATTCACAGGACGTAGATCCCCACACCATTCTTGTGCGTAAGATAACTGGAAAGCGGGACTGGTTGACAGACCAACAGTACAACTAGTCTAACAACACAGCCAAGTACTATTATCCTTTGAACTTGAGCGAGTACAGCACTGCAAGTGCTTACAGGAATGTAGGAGAGCTCCAGGAAAAGGTACACACGCCCCTGTTGGCCGGGCGCTGAAGTGGTCGTGTCACATACACGAGTTGCGGGTGATTAGCATTTGCACCTTGGCTTGCAGCATGTTACAGAGTTTGGAAGTATTACGGAATACAGATACTGTTTAGGAGTTATTGCAGTGTCAATTGGTCACGCAAAATGATCCGGTGCCGCTGTTCGGGCTAGTCATCCACAGTCGGAGCCAACACCCGCGACCCTCTGTGACAAGACACTACCAAACATACCATGTACTTGGTAGATTCCTGAGACACTTTACCATGAAAGGGAGTGGTAAATAGCACGACGTACGGGGGTTCTCGTCTAGGGCGTCATGATCCTGGGAGGCTCTAGTCCGTCCCCCGCTACACAAGCGGCAGCTGCAAGCCGAAGCTGCTGGAGGACAAGGGTGTACGATGATAAAGACATGACGGAGTTTATACAATAAACCTAAGAACGGGAAGTTGGCAGTAAGATGCAGTCTGGGTAAACCAAGTCCCTGTTGGTTCTCCCGCCAGTCGTCCACAGAGCCTGAAAGGAAGTGGTCAGTTATGGCACAGGGCACGTGGTGGATTCTTTTTAATTGTTAAACACCATTTCACCCCCCTATCCTGTCTAGTTCTTTGATTTCCTTAGTCAGAGTCTATCCGTCTACAACAACTGCCAGGGCCGAGCCAATCAACGCGCCGCCGCTGTTTGACGTCACCGGACTTTGGCAAAGAGTGGGTGTGCGGCGTGCGACGTCGAGGTTGCGACCACGGCGTCGATGAACAACTCGCACATGAGTGCAGAGCTCCTCAGTTCGGCCAGGACATTTGTGACGGTGGTGCAGTGGGTGGCGATGCGCAAGGCCTCTGGGGAGAGAGAGAACGCGGCCAATGCCTTGGCAGCTGAGCTGCTGTCGACGCTTCCCATAACTCTATTGGATTGAAGAGAGAGAAGATGAAAGGAAATGAATAGAATTTGACATGTTCAAGTTTCTTTCTTGTAATTGCTCAAGATTGGTCCGATTGCGGGTGCTGGCGGGCAACACTGTGTGTGCTCTGGGTCAAGAGGCCACGAAGCGAGTCTACTCCAGAATCCAAGCCGGAATTTAACAAAGACTGGGCGTACGCAGCTTGGTTGTTCGTTCCTTCAAGTCTACAAAGAAGGACTCGAGGTTCAAGCGCCGAGCGATAGCCGCCTGTCAAAGGTCGCACCCGCCCGCACCACAAGACCGAGGCGGCAGAGAAGACACAAGACGGCCGCGAACGCATCACACAAGTCCCTCGGCGCTATGAAAAATCTCCTGGCAACGTCTGTAATGATTCTTGACTGTCGTTGCGCGTCAAGATGGCATTGGTAGCGGGCTGCCTCATGTCACACATCAGCCCCGGCTGCAGCTTATGCAACTCATGCACAGAATGCGGGCATTACATACAACGGGCTGCATACTTGATTGCAAGCTAGCGTTGTTTTTGATTGTTGGAACATAGATAGATTCTGGGAAAATGAGGTACAGAGCATTCAGGAACAGGCGGTGCGACCGTGAGCTTCGCTCCGTGTACACCGCCCACGGCGCTTAAAGGCTGACCAGTAGGAGCCAGAGTGCAGCTACGCAGAGAAGCTGGTGTCGACGGCGCAATATATATATATAGATATATATACATTGACGCGTATTTTATATGTGAATACGAGTCACAGACGCATGAGCGACTGCGTAAATGATGTTGGCGTCTTTTGTTGTGTAACCATTCCCGGTTGGCGTTTGTCGACACGTCCGCACAGATCCGTTGTAGGCTCGGCAAGCAGTGTGTTAGTGGAACAAGTATCTGTTTTTGAGAGGCGGCGCCATGACGGAGCCGAGATCTGGCAAATATTGACCCTATTGGCTAATCGAAATGTATAGGACCAATGAAAAATCGCCGGTGTGGAGAGTGGGTCTCAATTAGTGAAGGCAGGTACACGTGCGCTATCTAAGATGGCTCTGCGAGCGACCTGTCTGTGACATCAAAATGTTCCGCTGCCGCCGCTCGGGCTAGTCAGGGTAGACGCAACGGAAAATATAAGCGAGACACTTTGGCTAAGTATAATAACTCAAATTCAAATGGTGGGTTGCTACGCCGGTCTTGCATACACAGCTTCGGTTGGTTGATTGCGAGTACCGCGTTGGACAACTCATTTGTTGCCGAGCAGTACGAACTTCAGAGCAAAAGCTGCCTGTAACTGCGACAAATAAACTATAACCAGATAGCAGCATCTCAATCCTTGTCCTCTGAATGCACCAAAATAGCAGAACAGGATACTACATGCAAAGCAAGCCAGTGCCATCTCTGCCTCCCCCTCCTCAGCACAACCTAGTACGAATAGCAACCCCCCCTCACGGCAATCACGGCCAAATAGGTCGACGCAATGCGTGCCGCCGCAGCCGCAGCGCCATATGCCGCCTTGGCTTCCTCGTCCGCCGCCTCTGCGTCCTCGTTGGCCGCCGCGGCCGTGTCCTTGTCGCCTGCGGCCTCGGCCGCGAACGCGCGCACCGTGGCCGCCTTTGCCTTTGTCAGAGCGCGCTCGGCGCAGGCAGAAGCTTTCGTCGCGATGTCGGCCGCGTCGCTGACGGCCGCCGCCGCCGCGCACGGGACGCTGACCGGGGAGGTGGGCGGAGTGGACGAGTTGCTGACAAGGTCGATGTTTGGGACCGTGTGCGGTGTCGTGAGCCGCTGCGGACGACGGCGGTCGGCTTTGTCCGTGGTAGACTTGCCGCAGGGAAGATTGGAGACGGCAGTGGCTGTGGTCTTTGGCGGAGAGGGGGGGACATCTTGCTGCAATGCGTTGCGGTCGGCCTGTGGGAGTTTGGCAGCCTTGATATCCTTTTTCGTCTCAGTCCCCGTTTCCCCAGACGGGATGTTATTAGGAGGCTTCTATCGCGCAGTTAGCCAAACCAGTCACCACACACCCCTTCCCCCAGCGCTCAGCGTACCGGTAGTCTATTCTTGATTCCCTCCATGTGAATCAAGAAGCCTCCCCATACCCAGCCTTTAATGGCCGCCACCGCCAGCGCCCTCTGCTCCGCGCTCTCCAAGCATAGCGCCAAGCAGCCGTTGTGCTTCCTGTTCGTCCTGGGACTCGGCTCCCACGCCCAGCGCGCCGTCTCCATCGGCCCGGGGCACCGCGCGCGGAGGGCCTCCTCGAGCTTCTGCGGGCACGCCGTGCCGCCCATGCCGCGAAGAAGCAGCAGACATCCAGTGGCGCGCCAGTCGGCGACGCGCTCGTCGTAGTCGCGCTTCTCGGCTTCGAAGAGACTCTGTTGGGACTTGTTGCGGGCGGCGGCTGCGAGCACGGCGCCGCTGCGCGTCGGGCGCTCTTCGTTGGAGGATCGACTGTGGCTTCGGCTTCGGCTTCGGGTGCGGGTAGAGACGGGTGCTTCTTTGTCGGATTTGTCATTCATCGTGGCGATGCGTGTGTGGGTTGTTTTGGGGGAGTTGAGGTTCATGCCCGTTGGTTGCAAACGGGCGAGGCCGGCTGGAAGGAACCTGGGGGTGGAAAGTAGCTTTCAGGTGGGCGCAGTCTCCGACGCAGTACTAGTTAACACAAGGGAGGATAATCTCTTTAAACGTATTTCAAGGTGATAAAACTAGCTCGAGGGGCTAGGATTTAATTTGTTCTTGACATTGCTACAGCATCAGACTCACGACCGCGGGTGGACAAGCCACAGACCTTTTTGAATACAGCCCCAACTCCCTTTTTGAGTTAATTATGTTACTTAGTTATTTCTATGCTTCTAAAATGTTACCCTGGCCCAGCTTTGCCGTCTTTCTGCCGTTGTACGTTTGTACGTGGAACGATGTGCTCCTCCACTCTGCTGGCAGGTCCGAGTTGCGCCTGATCAAGGTATAATTGTCTAGAAGATGAAGATATAAATGTCTGGAAACCACCCATGAGTCCCTCGGCGAGTGTATTTATTATCTCTCGAGAGTTAAGGGACCGACCTTGTAACACAGAGTCGAGGGTCGTCAACCGTGGCTCGCTTGCTGCTCACCTTGGTCAGCGGCGAAACAGGTATCTTGTCTGGAATGTATGTAATACAACATGCATGTCGTTATTAATAGCGACGGCAGTGTAGTATATTCTACGTGTTAATGCAAGCTTCATACCCCGACTACTGCTGTCGACGGCATGGTCCCGACAAGCCAGCCGACAGCTCTGCTCAGGAATAACCACAGTTTGAACAGAAATAACAAGAAACAAGTAACGGTAGTATTTATAAAATATCTAGCCTAATAGAGTAAAATACAACCTTCGCCAGCACAAGCAGAGCCTGAGCAATGTCGTTCGACTTGTGCATGTCTACATACGTTTAAGTAGTCGCAATGGAGTCCGTCAACACCAAGTACATCTGCCCCGGTTCTATGGAACCGACCTAGGCGCTTCAAGTATCTCCAAACCAATACAGTGTCTTATGCCTATGTCAGACATTTATACGCAGGCGCGGGGGCCGACGTGCCCGAGATGGACCCTAGGCCTTTGCTCAGCACGGCCAAGCATCCCGCGGCCTTTTCTTCGTGGAGTACACAGTACTACAGGGCTGACAGCAAAAGGGCCTTTTCATCGCAGAGCGGAGGTCGGAGGCTGAGTATCATGAAGTCTCTGTCGCACGGAACGGGGCGGCCGGCGGGAATGCACAGATTAGGGCCATTCGCGAGCCGTCGTTGGGTGAGTATCCAAATATGGCTGCTCGTATTTCGTGCACTATTACATCATTTTCTGCTACGTGGAGTTCGAGTTCTCTACTGTCGTATTGCCTCGGTGTTGTATGTCAGCTCGTGGATCATGTCCGGAAACTCGTAGCGCCGATGCCTGGTAAGCCGTGCCAAGGTGCATGCCACGGCTGCCTCGACCAAAGACGGGAATATCCCTGGCTAGACAGACAAGGCTACAAGAAATGCGCACGTACTCGCAAGAGACAACCGGGTTCTCTCGCAGCACATGGGAGCTGCAGCCATCCGTCGATGCTCTTGCCCGGACCACCTCCCTCGGCCAAACCGCCATCAACTTGCCCTCCGCCGACCCATCCGACATGATCCGAACCCTTGGAGCTGCATGCAGAGCACAACACAAAGCATGCAAGTGCGTACCTATCTATGCAAGCTGCCCGGCCTTTGCTACGTAGGGCCGTTGGGGGGATCGGCGCGGCAGGACCGTTTTGTGCCTGCAGCGACGCCAGTACGGATCCTACCTTAGAATCCCACGTCAGGCGTTCAGGCAAGGCTTCGCTCGTCCGATGCGGCGGAAAAATGTCCGTTGCAACTCATACCGGCAGCAGATGCAACGCAAGACGAGACGAAAATGAGGAATAATAGACACTAGTCTGCTATAGCCCCTATTGGAGAGAACAAAAGTGCCAAGTGTCTGGTAATTGAGCGGTGCCCGGTCTAGAATTCTCTTCGCATAGGAACAAGTTTCTACAAATTAGTGCTTATTTATCTGCCCAGAGGTGCAGCATTCCTCACAGCCTCGAAGCCGCGCGCACACAACGCTCGGGCCTGGGCCTATTCCGGGCTTGCAGGAGCTTCCTGTGACTAATTGTGCGCCTGCCGTTGGTGGGGGAATTCAAAATATGACAAAAACTGTGCGAAAAAGGTCTCCGGGGCGGTCATATGGCCGTTGTTGCACAAAACGGGGGTTTTGAGGTGTAATTATGTATCAGCCGCACCGCCTCACCTTGGCCCACCAGAGCAAGTTTTTCTCTCTCCTTCTTTTACCAACCAGTACGGATACAGTAAATCCCATTCATGCATCGGGGATCTTTGCGCCAGCCAACGCTAGAGCCCCCGGCCTGGTCCGCCGTCCTAGCGTTGAGCACATTTGAGACAGATTTCGACATGATGGAAAGAGCACGATTCCGGGCAACGCAACTACGAAAAAAAAAACCAGCGCATCAGACTATAAGAAGCTGTCCATACGTCTTGCGTTTTGCTGTCTGGTCTTTGCACCTTTTTCTTTGAGCACGCAAGGCGGTGAGCTCACATCGGGTCTGAGTGTCCGGGGTCAAGGTTCGGCATCAGGCTCGGGGGGAGGTGATCACCCCGAATCGGAACCTTAATGGAATTAAATTGCCCGCTAGCGCACGAAGAAGAAAACGAGAATAAGCCCATGGTGAGGATTGGGCGCCGACTTGGCACGGCTTACACGGGGCCCCGGGGGGGTATTACGTGCTGACAGCAACGGCTCCCCGTCACCTATACTTGTCCGCCGGTATGGAAATAGGAACCGCGCCCGTGCTATTGCCCAATAGTACCCAATGAGAAGAAATACCCTATCCTGTCGACAGGGCGGATATGAATGGACCCTCCTCCTACTCCGCTGACAGCCTCACTTACCCACGGCCCCTCAGCTCGCCAACAATGAAGATTTGATAGCCCTGATCCTTGTCCGGCGAATCTATCTGCAGACAGAAAGTGGCGAAGAACACGTATCCTGTGCTACACTTTAAAAAAAGAAGCAACATGTGGTTCTTTGTGTTTTCTCACCAGCATCACAGCCCTGGTCCTTTATATCCCCTTGACGAAGAGAAAGCATCAGATTGTCTCAACTCCCCCCCACACCCACAACCGCTTTCCCCCCTCCGTCACACTTGCGGGTTGGATAAGCGTCGAGCGGCTCCGAAACGTACCATCCGTTACAAGACCGCTTGAATAGCCCGGTTTGGCATTCGTCCGTGGAGGAACGAACGGGGCCAAACATTCGCTTCAGCTCGGAAAAGCTAGCGCCGCGCCCCCGGGGCGTGTCAATCTGCCTCAAACATGCTCAGCAACCCGTTGGCTTTCGGTACCGCTAGCAAGATGGAATCCCGTCCTCTGAAATGCCATCGTTCTTTCCCGGTCCTTGTCAACGCACACGCCCCCCCCCCGCGAGGCATGTGCGTCGCAGACGCTGCGGCCAAAGACGCACACGGAGAAAGAACGACCTGTGGGTGGTGTGTGAGAAACTAGTCGGTGGGTTGGGAAAAAAAAGGTCCAGAAGAACTATTGCTTCCTTTTCCACCACCCCTCTCCGAATTCGTATGGGTGCTGTGATGCATCATGCCAGGCCCCAAAGTTCGTATGACAGCGCAAGTTTATGCCCATTCTTCCACCACTTACTTTTTTTTTCTTTTTTTTTCTTTTTTCTTTCTTTATCCAGTTAGAATCATCAGCTGCGGTTTTCCTCGTGTCCCCAAGTAAGCAAGGCTGGGCTTCTCGTCTGCGTTGGTTTCTTGCATTTAAGATTCTCATAACCTTGAGCTAGTTCACGCAAGTTTCCCCATCTTCATGATCCAACTATACATTTACCGAATAAAACGTCTATAAGCCAAGGAAACAAGCATATTTTGTCCACCGTCTTCCGTCTTGCTACTTGCCTTCTTCTTCTCTCGTCTCTTGACAGCTCGAACCCTCCCACCCACCTTGTGTCTCTGCGCTGCCACACTTACCACATCCCGGGCCACCCATCATGGCGACGCCAAAGAGCATATCGCAGTCGGTTCTCGACATCATCACACAGTTTGCGCTCAACAAGTTTGACGACGCGGCGACGCGCATGGCCGCCGGCACACCCACCTTTCTTGCCGTCATTGACGCCTTTGTCGCCGACCAAAGGGAGATCCAGACATGCCTGCCCTCGTTCCCGTTCAAGTCGGCCAACAAGGAGTACAAGGTGCTCGGCGCGCTGCCGGACAAGGCCGAGGAGCTCGCCCTCGGGCGCCTCGACAACATGTGTCGGCGCATCCGCGAGGTGTATCCCCCGGGCGCGCGCGTCACCATCATCTCCGACGGCATGACGTATAACGGTACGTTGTTCGTCCCTCTGTAGCTGCCTTTCTGAATTAGAGAGCGGGAAGCAGTACCGAGTCGCTAACACAACTTCACAGACCTTCTCTCCATCTCGGACCGCGAGACATGGCAGTACGGCGAGGCCCTCCGCAAAATGGCCGACGCCAAGGGCTTCACCCACATCTCCTTTGCGCGCATCCGCGACCTCGTCGACTGCGCGCTGCCCGAGACGCTGCGTGAAATCACCTACGTCGCCAACTGCACCAACATGCGGCGCCTGCTGCTCAACGAGCACGGCCGCGACGACCTCGACATGGACAAGGAGATTGTCGACAACCCCGACACCAAGCTGACCTACCTCGGCTACTGCCGCTTCCTCGAGTCGGACCTGCGCCACATCTTTCCCACCGACGAGAACCGGACCAACCGCGCCTACAAGCGGGACGTCAAGTACCTGGCCAAGCAGATGCTGAAGCGCGGTTACGTGAGTCCCAGTCGACCCGAGTCTTTGAACGCACAGAACTGCATATGCTAACAGGACTAGGCCTTTGCGGGAGCCGTCAAAAAGGCCTTCCCCAACCATCTCCGCCTCTCCATCCACGAGTCCTTTGGCGAGCACAAGGTCTCCATCAGCCTGCTCAACACGCAGACTGGCTTCACCACGCCCTGGCACTGCAGCGTCGCCCAGCTCGCCGACGGCGAGTGGATCAGCGCCCCCATGGGCGAGTTTCAAAAGGACGACCGTCTCGAGGTCGTCTTCGAAAACGGCCGCCCATCGCACTTTCGAGAAAAGGCCCGCGCCCCGGACGCACCCCCCAGCATCGCCGAATCGTGGACCGCCTTTATGCCGGCCAAGAAGATTAGCCCCTCGTCGGCCGGCTCCCTCTCACCGAGCTTGCAGTCCGATGCGGGCCAGCCGGCGCAGTTGGGACTCGGGATCAGCGGCTGCACGACGCCGGCGAGTAGTGACGCCGCCTCGGACGGCGAGTTCGTCGAGAAGCAGGTGGCCGCCGCCGCGCCGGACTATGGACGACGCTTGCTGCCGCAGATTATAGACAAGCGGGCGGCAGCGCATCCGGATCAGATCCTGTTTTCGCTCTCCAGCATGGTCAAGAATCAGCTCGAGTTTCAAGAGATTTCGGCCAAGCAGTTTGCGCAGGCCATTGACAAGACGGCGTGGTGGCTGGAGAGCAAGGTCGGCAAGCAAACCGCAATCCAACCGATCGGATACATCGGACCACACGATCTTCGACATATTTTGTTGACATATGCCTGTGTCAAAGTCGGCTACGCGGCTCTCTTCCTCTCTCCCAAGAACAGCACCCAAGGCGCCCTCTCCGTGCTCGACACCCTCCACTGCGACATCTGGGCCAGGGCCAGCGACGCGCCCCTCGCTCCCCTCGTGCAAGACGTCCTTGAGCAGCGCCCCATGACCATCCTCGAGCTCCCTCCCCTCGCCGACCTCCTCTCCGCCAGCACCACCCCACCCTACCCCTACACCAAGAGCTTTGCGGCCGCCGCCACCGACCCCTTTTGCTACCTGCACACGTCCGGCAGCACCGGAATCCCCAAGCCGATCCCGTGGTCGAACGCGCTCATCGGAACCATGGACGCCGTGCGCCTGCTGCCCCGCGTCGCCGACGATCACGGCCTGCTGCCGTGGACAACTGACTGGGCCGCGCACGACCGCATCTATTCTTCCTTTCCCATGAGCCACGGCGCTGGCATCATCATGAACATCCTGCTCCCCGCGCTCATGGACCTGCACTGCATCATGGGGCCCGTCAATGTGCTGCCAAACATCACCCTTGTAGAGGCGCTGGCGGAGCAGGCTAGGATCGACATCTGGAGCATGGTGCCGTCGCTAACCGATGAGGTCGGCGAGACTCCCGACGTGCTGGCCAAGTTGGCATCGTCCAAGTTCATCTGCGCGTCCGGCGGGCCCGTGAGCCCAGTGAGCGCGGGCAAGGCCAACGCGGTCGTGCGCGTGCTGAACCTCACGGGCACCACCGAGGGGCTGTTCATTGGCAACCTGGTGCCCGCGCGGGAGGACTGGTTCTGGTTCGCGTTCCACCCGTACTCTGGCTTCGAGTTCAAGCCGCTCGACGACGAGGACACGTACGAGCACTGGATCCACCGCGACGAGACGCACGCGGCGCTCTTCCAGGGCATCTACCACACCTTCCCCGAGCAGCAGTCCATCAACTTCAAGGACCTGTACATGCGGCACCCGACCAAGCCGTATCTGTGGGCGTTCAAGGGCCGCAACGACGACCTCATTGTGCTCTCCAACGGGTACAAGATCTCACCGCTGCAGACCGAGGCCTTCATCGCCGCGCACCCGGCCATTGACGGCTGCCTGGTCATTGGCACCGGCAAGCCGCAGGCCGCGCTGCTGATCGAGCTCAAGGACCCCAACGGCAAGACGGAGCCCATCCTCGACAGCATCTGGGAGACGGTGCAGGCGGCCAATGTGCAGATGCGCCACAAGAACCAGCTGCTGCGCGACTTCATCGCCTTTACCGAGCCGGACAAGCCGTTTGTGCGGACCGACAAGGGCACTGTCAAGCGGCCTGCGACGCTGACCCTGTACGCCGAGTACATTGAGCGCTTCTACAGCTCGCGCAACAGCGACATTCCCGTCTTCGACGTCGATCTGAGCTCGCCGGCGTCCATCCAGCATGACGTGCGCGAGCTGTTTGCCTCGTACCTGGCCGAGGTGCGCGACGTGCCGCTCGACGCCAACCTGTTTGAGCTCGGTTTCGACTCGCTCGCCGTCTTCGCTGCCATCAAGACGCTGCGCATCGTCACAGGCCTGGCCGATCGCCTGAGCGCGCGCCAGCTGTACGCCAATCCCACGCTCGGCGGCTTCTCGTCGGTGCTGCTCGAGCTGGCCCAGGAATCAAAGACGTCGACGTCCGATGCCGGTGCCAGTAAAGTCACGGAGCTGCAGAGGCTCATGGCGCAGCACCAGGCGCGCCAGTCATTCAAGCTCAACCCCATGGACTACGTCAACCCAAACCACTACATGGGGCTCGTCTTTTACTTTCCCCTCGCCGACGGCGTCAGCTTCCAGGATGCCTTTGAGACGCTGTCCAAGGGCCTGGACCGCACCATGGATCAGATCCCCGCGCTGGGCGGCAAGATGGTGCCCTGCTCTCCGTACGAGATTGGCTATGCCAAGGGCGACTTGTGCGTCAGCATCCCCCCCGCGCACATGGCATCCTCCCCGCACGGCAGGCTCATCTACAAGGACTGTGCCGCACTTCTGCCCTCGTTTGCGGAGCTGCGCGAAAAGGACTTTGTGCCGTCGCTGTTCCACGACGAGGTCATCCTGCAGCAAGACACGTTTCCCAGCCTGCCTGCCGACATTGTCCTCGCGCAGGCCAACTTTGTCCGGGGCGGGTGCCTGCTCGCCGTGGACATGAACCACTGCTGCCTCGACGGCATGGGTGTCATGATTGCGCTCAAGGCGTGGGCGGAGAACTGCCGCTTCCTCCAGGGCGACGCGGCGGCGACGTGCTCGTGGCTCGACGTCGACAGCTTCAATCATGGCCTCCCCGAAATCATCCACCAGCAGGAAGGATGGACCAAGTCGCCGGACGAGGTTGATCCCGGCACATGGGGCTTCCTCCCGTTTCAACCCGCCGAGGACGCGGCCCCGAGCAGGTACGTCCCGACAGCAGCAGATCTGCCGCCGGCGCCCAAGTTCAAGCTGCATTCCGTGTGGCCGCTCCCCCGCGCCGAGCGGTGCATGAACACGACCGTAGTGGAGATTTCGGCGGAAAGCATCCGGAAGCTCAAGAAGCAAGTGCTGGCCGACCCCGGGACCAAGGGCTCCAGTGTCTCGGTCAGCGACATTGTGCAGGCCTTTTTCTGGAGACTGGCCATTCGCGCAAGACGGCATGTGGCCAAGGCTAAGGGAAATGATTATTCGGAAGCGGACGGCATTTCCATCTTGGAGGCGCCGACAGACGGGCGCGCGCACTTTTCGTCGCTGTTGCCCGCTACGTACATGGGCAGCATGCTCATCATGAGCCGCTCGGTGCTGTCGACACAGGAATTGTGCGCACCAGACACCAGCCTCGGGCGCATCTCCCAGGTGCTCCGTGACACGGCCGCGCGTGTCACGCCATCTCTCGTGCACGATGCGTTTACGCTTTTGCAGTCGCTTCCCGATCACGCGCGCTTCTCGACGGCCAACATGGGTCTCGACCACATGCACGCCATGATCTCGAACCTCATGCTGTTCCAGACGAGCGAGATTGATTTTGGCAGCAAATTGTTTGCCAACAATGGATCGCCCGAGACAATGCGACCGCAGCTGGTGCGCGCCAACGGGCGGTTCCGGTTCTGGATCATCTCGCCGATGAAAAAGGACGGCGCTGTAGAGCTTGTTCTGGGCACGTTTCCCGAAGAGCTTGCCTTTTTTACCGGAGACGAAGAGTTCAACAGATATGCCAAGGTGGTAGATGTTTCAGCTTGGTAAATAGAGCATAGAAATTCAGACTGTATATAGTTAGATTGACAACCAGGTCGCGGCGTGGTTTCTCGTGTAAGTCGCCAAAAACACGCTCCAGATTGCGACGGGCGCTAGATTGAGACAATATATCCCCATGTTTATCCACTGTAGTATCGAAACCGTAAACGTACCGTCTCCGAGTGAAACGCCCGCAAAGGGTCCCGCCGAGCTGAAAAAACGAGAAGCCATAGTTGTGGTACAAGGCAGGAGGAAGGGGTGTCGCCTGCCCACACACCCCAAGCCTCACCAGCGCAAAACTAGCGGGCACCGGCTCCGGCACGAAAAGTGAGCAAGTTTCGATGACAGCTGCTAAGATGAGGCTTGCACAAAATTGAGCAGGTTTTCCGGCAATCGCTCCACCTCTTTGCTTGCCTAAATTGGTGCTGCAGCACCCCTAGTCAGTTGTGGTTCGGTGGTCGGTCTGATCCGCGCAAGGGAAACCTTCTCATTTTGCTTCATAAAGAAGGCCACCCCCGGTCGACGTTTTCCTTTCTTTTCTGTGTTCATGTCAGCTTCTCTTCTTCGCTTCTTTCCATCTTCGTTACCATCGGCGCCATGTCCAAAGATGCAGCCGATGCCAAGATCCGCGTCGATGCGGTGCGCGACAGTGCCGACGACGCCACCGCCGAGGCTGGCAGCAGCAGCACCCAAGTTCAAGCTGGTGTGCGCAACATCGAAGCCACGACTGTCGCGTGGAACAAGAATGCCCTCATCATCGCATATGTGCTCATCTGGCTAACGTATTGCGTCGAGGGCTTGCTGGCCAACACGACCAACGCGCTCACACCCTTTGTCACCTCGGACTTTACCCTGCACTCGCTGACGCCGACTGTCGGTATCCTCAGTAGTGTGATTGGCGGCGTCACCAACCTCACTCTCGCCAAGATTCTCGACGTCTTCGGTCGCCCGCAGGGCTACCTCTTCTGCATCGTCCTGGCCACGGTCGGCATGATCATGATGGCCGCCTGCAATAATGTCGAGGCGTACGCGGCCGCCCAAGTCTTCCAGACGGTGGGCAACAACGGCATCCAGTACAGCCTGTCGGTATTTGTCGCCGACACGTCGACGCTACAGAACAGAGGCCTTATGCAGGCCATTGTGAGCACGCCCAATCTCTTTGTCGGCTTTGTCGCCGGACCGATTGCGTCGGGCTTTGTCCGTGGCCCCGGCTGGCGATGGGCGTTTGGCATGTTTACCATCATGGTCCCATGCATCACGCTGCCTCTCTACGGCATCCTGGTCAACAACTTCCTCAAGGCCAAGAAACTAGGCCTCGTCACCAAACCCGACAGCAAACGAACGCCCCTGCAGTCACTTCTGCACTACTCTCGCGAATTCGACGCCATTGGTTTAATCCTTCTCTCCGCTGGCGTCGCCCTCTTTCTACTGCCGTTCAATCTCTACACTCTGCAGGCACGGGGATGGACCTCGCCTCTAGTCCTCAGCATGCTCATTATTGGCTTTGTCCTCATCATCAGCTTTGTGGTGTGGGAAAGATTCTTCGCGCCAGTCACCTTTATCCCGTACTCGTTGCTTCTGGACCCAACCGTGTTCGGCGCGTGCATCTTGTCGGCGACATTGTTCCTGAGCTACTCGACTTGGAGCGCCTTTTTCCAGTCGTATCTGCAAGTGGTCAAGGGTCTCAGTATTGACGAGTCGACCTACGTCATTCAGACGTACTCAGTCACATCCGTCGTCTTTGCCGTCGCTGCGGGCGGCTTGATCCACAAAACCGGCCGATTCAAGCCGGCAACGCTCTTCGTCGGCGTGCCGCTGAGCGCTTTTGGTCTGGGCCTTTTGATGCACTTTCGCGACGCGGATAGCAGTATTGGCTACGTTGTCATGTGCCTCATCTTTATCGGCATTGCGGCGGGAACAATCATCGTGTGTGATGAGATTGCCATGTTGGCTGCCGGTGCTCATCAGTATGTCGCCGTCTGTCTTGCCGTGCTGGGCATGTTTAGCAATGTCGGCGGCGCGATTGGTTTCACTGTGGCATCGGCCATCTGGCAAAACACGTTGCCCAACAAATTGCTCGAGTATCTGCCCGAGGAGGATTTGCCCAACTTGCCCATGATTTATGGCGACATTAACACGCAGCTATCGTACCCAATTGGCTCTGCTACCCGAACGGCCATCCAGCATGCGTACAGCGATGCCTATTTGCGACTGCTGGCTGTCAGCACCGGCGTTTGGGCATTTGGCTTTGTCGCCGTCATCATGTGGCGCAACATCAATGTCATTGGCATCAAGCAAGCCAAGGGGCATGTCTGGTGAGGTGTCAAGGTCGTAGGGGATAAATTGAGTGACGACGCAGGTTGAGGCGAGGTCGACGTTTGTACACGTCGAGCGCAAGCCACTGACAAGATCACGTGTACGCGGATTGGCCTTATCATAGGTTAGGCGAAGGCGGATGGCCTATGATAGGTTAGACGGATGGGAAAGATACCCTCTGATTGAAATTGCACATACAGATAGACAGCAAATACGGTTACCTAGTAATGCATACATTATTATTACACGCCCGAGACATTTTCCTTTATGCGTCGGGAATGCAGGTACCAGTACCCAGACAAGGCCTAATTAGGTACCTAGTAGGCACCTAATCCAGTGGAGTTTACCCCAGACGACGCCACATTCAGCAGTTGTCGTGGCCTGAAACCTCGCCTTCTGCTGGCCTGTGGCGGGCCGTCCCAGCACTAACAAGCTAAGGTACTAAGCATGGCGGGCCAGGCACACTGGCTCCATCAGCCATCGTTAATTGGTGTGGCTGAGATGGGCTCTGTGGCTCATAAAAGTGCACGCATCCCACCTTAAGCCGTGTCTCCCCTCGTTTCTTCTTCTTCACTCACAAGCAACAAACGGGTCGCAAATCATCTCGCGGAGTCTGTCATCTTTTCATTAAGAAGGTATTCTTCTCGCCCGGGCCCCCTCGTCAATCCCTTTTGTGCGTCATTCACTCATTTTCCACCCCCACCCCTCATCCTCTCTCGCTCTTTTCGCCGCTCTCTAGACAATTCACCCGAGAACACCGTCCCGGCGGCTGCGTGAATCCGTTCATCGCCGCCCGCTTCGGCCTCTTCTCTCGTCATCCCCGACCGAGCCATTCTTTTTCCAGCCCGAACCCGACCGTCAAACCCAAACACCCGCCGCCATGTTCAAGCGCTCGTTCCGTCATCACGACGCCGTGCGCGTGGACAAGTCTGCGCGCGTTAAAAAGTCGGGCTCCGTCCGGGATCCCATGAAGCTTTCGAAACTGCAAAGGTCGCTCACCGAGAACGACGCCCTGCTGCACTACCCGCAGCAGGCGCAGCCAGCCTCCGCACCGTCCCCCATCATCACCCTGATGGTGGGCCGCGAGGGCCGGCTCTTTGCGGCGCACGAGGATGTGCTCCGGCAGTCGCCGTTTTTTGACGCCGCCTGCCGCTCCGCCTTCCCCGACGCGCAGAGCCGGAGGATCTCGCTCCCCGAGGAGGAGCCCGAGGTCTTCTCCGCCGTGCTCGAGTACCTGTACAAGGGCGACTACTACCCGCAGCTGGTGCACAACGGCCAGCGCAACACGTGGGAGCTCGAGAACCACAACCGCGCCGGTGCCAGCGGGCTCCGAACGCCCGCGGCATCTCCCAACCCCGAGGCTGGAGGTCGCGCGACCGGCGCCGCCGTCCACCTCGACAGTGTGGGGGCCGACGTGCTCCGCGACACCGTCATCTACTGTGCCGCCGAGCGCTACGGCCTCGAGGAGCTCAAGCGCCTGGCCCTCCGCAAGCAGGGCCTGGCGGCCGGCATCGACGTCGCCACCATCCTGCGCTCCGCCCAGTATGCCTACGCCCACACGCCCGACTCGGACAGCCGCCTGCGCGCCCACTACCTTGCCCTCATTATCCGCTGCCGCAAGACCTTTAAGCGCAGCGGCACCATGCAGGTTGAGATGGAGGCGGGCGGCACCAAGCTGTTTTTCGACCTCTTCGTCGCCATGTGCAACCATCTCGACGACGTCATTGACGTGAACCATGTTCGCTCCCCAAGGACCGTCTGAGAGAAGCCTGGTTGTGCGCGTGTGTCTGTCTAGGTTTCCATCTATTAGGTCCACTTCCCCGGCTCAAGTCTGAGGTGGAGTCTGACTGCCTCGAAGCCGTCGCATTTACAAAATCAACCCGACAAAAAAAAAGATTTTACGAAGTTATGAATGTGGAATTCACAGCAGGTGTTGGCGCATTTTTGGTCTCCCTCATCAGATTGTCTCATTTCCAGCAGGGAGCTGATTCAGTTCAAGTCTTTCTGCTTTGTTTCATCGCATTTGGGTTTTGCTTCAATCAATGAGATTCAAGAGCCGAGGATATAATGACGCCCGTCTGTCCACAGGTATACTTCCTCTGCTCTCTTTTCCTCTTGTCAGTTGACTTGCGATTGTTTTGCTGCATCATTCAACTCTCACGATTTGTAGTTTATGTTCTCCTGATGATAGAGGCTCGGTTGCTTCGCAGCGACCGAGTTGTATCAATATGCTTGTTGTGCTACCCAACTCACCCCAGGGGACCGAGATTGGTTCCGTCGTCCCCTTGCCCTTTGACAAGAAAAATCTCAGACAATTTTTTTGCGCTGGACAGCAATTCGAAAAAAAATTCAACATCCCCCCCTCTCCCTCGTGCATTTTTTCAAACAGCTTGGTCACATTTTTTTGGCTGAGATATCTTTAATACCCCTGTGCTACTACTGGGATACGACAAGAGAAGCTTACAGAATGTTTCTCACAGCTTTGAGAAAGTCGGCGTTTGTTATTTTTTTTTCCCACGTTCAAGTCATTCTACAATACTGTCCACACACAAGACCATGTTTTCTCATTTCATTTGTCTGGAGGAAACATGCTGCATGGTTTGGAAATGTTCTTTTACAGACAAAAAAAAAATTGCAGAAAAACAAAAACGTGGAGAGTGGAAGTGTTGGCTCCGAGAGCTAACGGCTCTGCTCTTTACACTCAGGGGCTGCTGCGCAGTCCTCCTTGGCGGGAGTCCTTTCCGTCGGGGTCTTTTTGAGGTAATAGAAAATTGCCGCCTCACATTTGTTCCATGTTTTTGTCGTGACTTGTATCAGCAACTCGCATCTCCAAACCCTACCGTACCCTAAACTACCCCATCTATGCCCATTCCACCGTAAAGTCGTCAAATTTGGCGTGCAGCTGCTCCGTGCCCTCCTTGGCCGGCCTCGCCGCCAGCGCGGCCACGTCCAGCGTCCAGCCGTTGTACTGCGCGTCGGCGACCCAGCAAATCTCGCGCAGCGGCGTCTCCGTCTCGCCGTCCACGCAGTACACCCACCAGCTGCGGCCGTTGTCGTCGCCCTCGCTGCGCACCCGCACCGTCACGCCGCGCCGGCCCGTCGCGACCTCGCCCGCGTCCGCCACGGGCCCGACGCTCCAGTCGGCCCAGGTGTCGCAGCTGACGGTCGACAGCCGCGGACGGCCCTCGTACAGCTCGATGCCCGTCTTGACCCATTTCCGCTGCGCCGGCTGCGTCGGGTGCGTCAGCCGGAAGAGCAGCCCGGCCTGGTCGTACCGCTGCGTGTACGCGGCGGAGAAGGTGACCTGGGCGGAGCGGAACTGGCCCATGGGGTTGGACGAGTGCGTTGTGAAGGGGGCTGGATGGTGTGTGAGTTGGGGGTGTAGCAAGGGCGTGAGTTTGGCGAGTGATGAGCGGCTGAAAACGTACCGTTGAATACATCCTTGGTAGGAGGCTTCTTCCAGATGTCCGTATCCGGGCCGGCAGAAAGGTTGAAGCACTGAGCCATTGCGTGCGAGGTTTTATACGAGGAAGGTATGGTGAGAAAGCTCAGATGCTGAGTTGTGGTGATCTATGGCAGTTCATGACGACAACGGGCCGGGCTTATATACCAAGACGGCGCGGGGCAGCATTGCCCCGCTAAAGAACCAGCCAGATGCGCGGTTGTCGGGTCGAGACTGTGCTATTCTTGCCATACTCTTTCTGTCTCCAGACAAGGATCACATCATGATCTCAACTTCCAAGAATCAGATTGGCCGGAAACAACCGCTCAGTCGATTGGTAATTGAGTAGGCTGTGTATTGGACAGACTGCGCTTCTCCCGGTAACGCGGGCCTTGACTCCGGGTGGGCCGACGAGGCGGAGCGACCGTTTTAGGACAGCCCGGCGCGGCCACGGGGCTCCGCCGGTGCTGACACGCTGGCTGCATTATTAATAATGAACGAGAAAGGTATTTCGGTTAATTGGACACGTGGTTTAATGCACACGAAAGTACATCAAGATAGGAATTGCGTTGCGTGCGGCGTGTGTGGCGACAATACCAAAGATGTTGTATGTGATTCACACAGCAAATCCTTCCTCCCAACCACTTCAGCCAGACGAGACGGCAACACTAACAGCCATGATCACTTCACCGGCGGCTAGGCAGCCAGCGGTCGCCACAGCGTCGTCTCGGCCGCAGTACCTAGGCCCTCAAGTTGATCCGAGCAATCACTCTTTTCAGCCCTAGCTACACACGGTCGCAAAGGGACTGGACGTTTTAAAACTTGAAATAAAAGCTTCAAGAACTCGCAGACAATGTGTCCACTGTCGGCGTGAAACTCGCATGTATGGGCATATTGGCCGTGGTTAGCATCGTGACATGAACAACAGCGATTTCTAGGAATAGACAGTTTGGAGTAGACGACCGACTCCGCGACGAGATCCCCAGAAACCCCAGGAACCCCAGGATTTCCCCGGATATTCCCCACTCCAGAATCCACGGAAATCTGCAAGATAAGCCAGACAGGTGGGGGGCCTTGTAGTGCTCATGTTCATGGAATATAAAAACTAAGTTAATCGTCGCTGCCCTACTAGCCCCGTAGCCGAGGTTGGCCCATGTCTCCTTTGTTTTTTCCATTGCTCAGGGACAAGGAGATGAAGCCCGTCTCAGTAGGGTTGTTTAGCTAACCCGTTATCCCGTGTACACAATGAAGAGTCTCTGGAGGGTTGTTTAGCTAACCCGTTTACACAATGGAGAGCTAGTCTACACTGAGCGCCGCCAATACCGTCATAGGCTGAAATTGATGCTGCTATACTTAAATCCAGTATAATTATTATAGTACAATGATGTAGTCACCAATCACCATCTCCAAAGGGCTTTACGGAGTTCGTGGCGTGCCGAGGCACTTGAAGCGGAGGGTCGGATCGACCCAAAACGAACTGCACCGCAATGGCGGACCGACGTGTAAATACGGGTGAAAATAATCATCTATCACTCCGTTCGGCATAATCACGTATATAATAACCTCCCCCTCTCGTAGCAGCAAGTTCCAAATGGTTGATGAACATCACTTTTTGCGGCCGGCAATCAGCATCTACAGCCCACCATGGCTACCGAAACAATACCAGCAACAAGCAATGTCAAGCTCAACAAGGACTCGATGCGGTCTACGTGGCGAACCTGGGACAAGAGCCAGCACCGGTTTGCCCACCAGGCCCTGACCCGAGCCGACGTCTTCCACAACGACCCGCACCGGGCCATCCCGGTGCACGCCAAGACGGACCCGGTGCCGTACCTGCCGCAGTGGGCGATGCAACGCTGGATCGTCACGCACGCGGCCGGGCCCCTGCTGCTGCACCAGCTCTTCGTGTCGGCGACCGGCGCCAACATTGGCCGGCTGGGCGCGTTGGCGGCCTACTACGTGTCCTCGCGCTGGTTCATGACGCGCCTGCTCAGGAACATGCGCGAGATGGGCCACCGGTACGGCCACCTGGACGGCGACGTGCACGCGCGCGACGAGGTCCCGGACAATGGCGTGGGCAAGACGCTCCTGTCTGTCGTGCTCGCCAGCGTGGTGCGCGCCGTCATGTTCAACGTGCTCACGTGGGACAATGACGTCGCGCCCGGAGACGCGCGCTGGCTGTGGATGCCGCTCATCATCGGCGTCTACGGCATCGTTCTCGACTTCTGGTTCTACTGGTACCACCGTCTGATGCACGACAGCGCCTCGCTCTGGCAGTTCCACCGTACTCACCATCTGACCAAGCACCCTGTCGCGCTGCTGACCCTCTACGCAGACGGCGTGCAGGAGGTCGGTGACATTGTCGTGATTCCATTGCTCACCTTTCTGACGCTCAAGGCAACCGGCGTCTCGCTCAACTTCTACGAGTGGTATGCTTGCAACATCTACCTGAATTTTGCCGAGAGTCTCGGCCACAGCGGCCTGCGCATCATGGCCTACGTTCCCAACCCCCTCACGCCCGTGCTTAAGCTTTTTGGGGCGGAGCTTGCAATTGAAGATCACGACCTCCATCACCGGAGAGGCTGGAAGAGTAGCTTCAACTACGGCAAGCAGACCCGGCTATGGGACCGCGTCTTCGGCACATGTACTACCCGCGTTGAGTGCTTGCCCGACAACATCGATTATAAAAACCAAGCTAGTATGCCTTTGTTCTAAGAACCCAGCTGTTCCCTGAATTCAGAGGTCGATTCTAAGGAAATACTCCTCGAGAGCTTCAACTGAATGGTCTTCCGATCTGACGGCCAGCTTTCCTGCTATTCTGCCAAAGTTGCACTTGCCCAGCGACGTGGAAAGGATACTCTAGGGTAGCACGAATTTGCAAGTCTGGTCGCGCGGTATCTGAATGTCTTCTTATTGAACAGAACGATATACAAAACGCACTAATCAATGAAGTTGAAACTCTGCAGCTAGTTGCAGAAAGTTTGAGTGTACCATAATGACGCCCACCATTTGCTCCTGTTCGTTGACAAGGACAGCGACGTTCACTATGCGACAAAGTATAGTCATATCAGGCAACACGAGACTCTGGAATTAAAACTAGTTAGGAAAAATGATATACATATCAGAAGGGAGAATAGTCAATACACTGCTGTACATGGGCCACTTTCACATCGTGACCCCCAATGCGGCGGCGACGTCCAGCGTCGCCTCTTCAAAAAGAAGCCTCCAATCTTCCTTCGACAAGGGCCCCTCTACGGCTTTCCTTTTCATCTCGTCCACCACCCGATGGATCTTGCCCACGACGTGCTCATGCGCGTCAAAAATCCCACAGAGCCCCATCGCGCACCGCTCCTCGTCCCAGAAGCCGGACCTGTACAGCGCCTGCTGCCTCGCCGCCAGCCGCTCCCCAAACGACCCCATGCCGAGCGAGATCAGCTCAGACAGCGCGCACGCCGGATTGCACTTCTCCAGCAGCACCGTCCACACCTTGCAGAACTGGGACAGAGAGCTGCGCACGAGCTCCGACGGCGGGGCTCGCGCAAGCTGCTCCGCGGCGCCGGTGGGACGCTGCTCGAACCGGCTCGAGTTGGTCAGGTCGTTTTGCGCCTGCACGAGGATACTGAGAACCTGCTCGCTCTCGGCGCCGGCGGCGACTGGTGCGGCGAGCTGGCCGATGGCCATCGGGGCGAGCAGGGACTGGACCTCGTAGCTCCCTGCGTGCACCGACTGGAACATGTCGTCGGCATCCAGGCCTGCTCTGGAGAGTAGTGTTTTCTCGCCCCCTGGATGGAACGTGGACAGAACGGATATGTCATAGACCGTGTCGCCAAGCGAGATCCAAATGTCGCCTGGTGTGTTATGGGTCGCCAGCTCTGATCGAGAGATGCGGCGGGTTGTATGCGTGGGTGCTGCCGCGATGCTCGATTTGGCAGCCGCCGCATGCACGTGTAGACTGGGCATGCTCGAGGTATTGATGGCGGCTATTCGTCCACTTGTACGGGCAGCTCGATTCTTTGGCGGACGGTTTAGCATTGTAGCCACGCCGAGCGCAAACTCGGAGGATCCGCACACGTACGTCGGCAGGCCCTGCCGCAGACAGAGGTCTTCGAGAACGGCTGGTACTCTACCGTGGTAGACGCGGCAGTGTTTCCCGGCAAGCAACTCGAGGTCCTGGGTGTCAGGCATGGTCAGACACAGGATGACGTGCAGCTGACCGTGGAACTTGTCCAGGGCAGCAAACAACTCTTGCGTGTGGATGAAGTGGTGCAGGTTTTGCGCGCCAATCACGAGTGTGTAGGTGCCGACCAACACCTCACGTCGCGAAAGCCAGCCGAGGAAAATGCCAGCCCCGCCATTTTGAGCAATGAAGTAAGTATTGTCTTGACTGCTCTTGTTGGTCTTGATTCGGAAGTGCGGACTCGGAGCTAGGGCGACCGAGACGGTAAAGGGCTTCTCTTGCTGGCACAAGAATGACGAGACGAGACCGGCGCTTCGGCAACAAATCTCGACAGACTTTGTGACGTGCAAGTCGTCGTCCGTCTCCACGTCGAACCCGGGAAGTGGGCATGTCTTGGTGATGGAGTACGTCCGTGTCTGGTCTCCGGAATCCGCGTGGTGAACTGTGACGGCCATTGTATCCCCGGCAGCGAGAGCAATAGGCGCATCAAAGTCGAGTCTGAGTATAGCCGACCCAACCTCCCTCCCAGCAGGCATGTGGCGACGAACAGGACTCGCGGTGGCAGGAATGCGTCTCGTCGCCGGATCGCTACCAAACCTCACCACCATGGCCTTGCGCAGCGTATTCGAAATATGCCACTCGGGCGCCTTTGCATTCTGCGTGCCCGACGACGTGTACAGCTGTCCCGCGCGGAGCGCCAGCACGATCCTCAGGGCCTTTTTCCTGTGCATCTCGTACAAGTCGTGCAGCAGCTGCTGGAAGACGGCAAACGCGCGGGCCAGCCTCGGCGCGGCGCGTCCGCGCGCAAT